GGAAACTGTAGAATGTAAAAGGTTGAAATGGTATGGCTACTGTTACAATGGATCCCCACCAATGGCAGAAAAAGAGGTAGACCGAGGAAATCGTGGAAGCGAGAAATAAACTGTGGAGCACATGACTGGAATGATCACAAGCGTTATAAGCTAGGACACGAGAATAAGCGACAGCTGTAAACAACGTCGTTGTTATATATAATTCCTCCACTGAGAAATCATAATTAAGGTGTAAAACGCAGACTAGGCACAAATATTTTGCAAGACCGTAAACAAACACGTCGCAAGCTACTAAAAACTACATTAAAGCTGAACGAAGATTAAAGTGGATTATAATTTTCTAATGACACATTTGAGGAACCCACCGTTGTTTCGTCAGCCGATTGACAGTTAATTATGCTTGTTTTTTTTTTTGTTACTCGCCTCTTCATAACTTCTTGTCAGGGCAACAGCTTAAAAAGAAGACACCGAAATAGTACAGTACAAATTATAAAAATATAAATCTATTTAACATCTATTACTGATGAACCCAACGGAAAGCTTGATTTTATAATAAAAAGCCGACAAATGGGTATAAAAATTATTGGAAATTGGAGAGCTTGAAGGTGTGAGAGATTTTTTCTTAAATTGATTTTAGCCGCCAACCCTGTAAATTTTTTCCTACAAAATTTCTTTTCTTCCAAAAAAATATTTTCCCGTTTCAGCCGGATTGTCTTTTTCAATTAAGATGACGTAATGTGACGGAAGCACTGTAAATATAAAAATGGTGTCATTCGAACAATGCGCCGATGTTTTGCACTATATGAATGAGCCGGACGACGGGCGTTATGATTTTATTAGCATTATGCAGATCATCGGTACCGCGAATGACCGTGACCTTGGACGTTGTTATTAAGCAAGAGCTGGGGTTCTGGGATCCTCTCACTCGCACGCCTAGACACGCCGCGATCTCGTAGCAGCCGCCACCCGCCTCCGGTGATTCACCCGGCAAATACGCGCGGGGAAACACTTCTTTGGCGGTCCGTTTAAAAATGGCGATCGACGTTCTAAGAATAAATCCAACTCATTGCGCGAAAAAATTATCAAAAATCTTCAACATAACTTGTTTGAAAATGTTATATTGCGAAATAAGGATGTTTGTACTTTCGTAGTCAAGTAACTAAGTTTTAAATAGAACACTCTGTACATTAATGTCTGTTTTGAAAGTTTTTGATATATATTGGGAGTTGATCGTGTTTATATTAAAAAAAAAAGTATTGAAAATTCAAACGTTGGTAAATAAATTGTGTAGTGTGTAGCTTGCTTTCTTTTTCTGTCATGTTTCGCCGTCATCGTCTTGACCAGTCAATAGCCGTAAAGCATTTTTACAATATGAAAATGTTTTATTGCTCATATTTTCAAATCTTTTTGAATTAGGCAACCTTATACAGTGTCGTCCCTTTTTCAAATACGATAAAATTATAAAAATTGGTTGCAAAATGACTTCAAAATATTCAAAAATTTCCAAAAACTCATTCAAAACGTAAGATGTTTATTTTAAGTATAGACATTAATTTTTACTGTTTTGTTGCAGCAATTACTAACATATTTTTCATCTCTTGAGGACTGAAGTCCCTTAAAGAAATTGCTTAATATGACAGTTAAGTTTTATTTTCATCTTTTTTTTTAAACATAAAAAGTAGTAATAAGTTTTCCCATAGGATGCGAGTTATCTGAAGCACGCCGTGTCTAAAAGTGTAAGCGAATAGAAAGATGAATTATTTTATTTGTTGTTTACGTCGGAAATGATTCAGTGTAATCGATACATCTTCCAATTACACAATTACTTTACAATGTCATCATGACTACGTGAATATGAAGTGTGACAGTCACGTGGCAGTGAATTAAATATTACTTTTAGTAATTCTCTTAGTAAAATCTCATAAAATGATTTTACCAAAATATCAAGTACTAAGAAAGTACCAAGTATTCCATAATGCAAAAAACGACTTTTTCTAACTGTCTTAACTCAACTTGCCTCAAAAATGAAATCCAAGTATGTTGTTGAGATAAAAAGGTAGCCTCAGAAACGAATTTTTCTGGTAATACCCGGTAAGTTCCAGAGTTGCTCATACTGCTGCGTCAAATTCTGATTATTGTATTGTATTATTTAATTTAAACTGCACACATTATGTGTGCCGCTCACCAACCATTTGTTTTTGCGGATTTAACGTCTTCTATGCATATGCAAAATACATATGACGTAATTGTAAACTTCTTAGAATTATACAACGCTAGGAAATAATTATATTCTCCAGGAATAACAGTTTCTCAAAGCGTTGGCTTGGTGGAAAGGAGAGTCCGTCCCATTCATTTTTCCGACTACATCAATGACGCACAAAAGTTCTAATATTATAATGTGCTTATTTATTTTGTACATGGAACATTTACGTGGAACAAAGCTAAAAGACAATGATAACTAAGCCCCGCAGGAGCAGATAAATATCGGTTGAGACAATAGAATGCAGAAAAGGAAAAACATTTAAAAATCTGTGAATTTTGTTTCCCGTCACGTGCGCACAGCCAGACTTCGATCAAACGGATCAATCGAAAAATTTTTCAATTTGTGCTTTGTCTAGGATTACGTTTGATGATGGTGCTATTGCGTCGTGGGACTGATGATTTGAGTACAGAAATCCTAATGGGTAAATTTCAAGTAGGTTTAAAGAACTGCTACCGATCTGTATGTGGATATGTTTTATATGTATGAAAGTATCATTTTACGTCGATCGTTCAAAACTTTTTCAATCCCTCAATTTCGTTCATCGGAATATAGCGTACCAGTAAATTTGTGTCGTATAATCGATAGCCGATTTTTCGATTCATAAATCATAAAAGAGTATTCATATAATTAAAAACTGACAACGCGGAAAGTACACATAAAATACATAAATATTTTAGCAAATTTTCTAAATTATTTTTGCTGGTTTAAATTGATGTAATGAAACAACTTATCGGGCTGTCGATAATTTAGGAATTACAATTTGTCAGTTGTTAAAATACCAATGCTTACTATAGTCTTGACAAAAAAAAACAGTATCAGATATAGTTTTGTTATATAAATATATTAATTGTGCAAAAAAAAATTATTTTATTAAGAATCTATATTTTTATTTTTTGCCCTAGATCCAGGAAAATTGTTTTTTTTCTATTAGTGTTATTTTTCATTACCATTAAATTATCACTATACTAATACCTAATCAGAGGAATTCACAATTACAGTTCTCCTGTTGTGGTCTGTTTCTTAATGCGAGAGAGTTATAAAATTTAAATTTGCTAGTCGAGAGCAATAATAAAGGTCTTTACAATGTTTTCTAGCATGTGATCAGTTTCCCGCATTCTTTCCTTCCTTAAGGTCTGGACAGTGCTTTCTAACATCAGTTTCCCACATTCTTTCTTCTATTTCAATCACGGGTTCGCTGCACTTACCCTATTTTCCACTGTCATTATTCCCTATTGCAAAATGATTTCGAGGTCCCTCGTTTTAAAAATGGTGTTATGCCTTGCTACAAACCCTTTTACTTGGGCCCATATCAATTCAATAGGGTTTAATTCGCAGTGATATGGTGGAAGTCGAAGTAAAATTATAATTATAAATTTCGTACAAAGAGGCTTGTTTTTTTTTCAAAGCTACACTCTCCAGTGGTTCATTTTTCAGAATATCACCTTAAAGTGCTTCTTATTTAAAGTAAGCTTGCCAATGAGTGATGTCATTTTTTCCACAAGAGGACGTGGGTATTTTTTCCAATTTTCTTTAGTGGTAACGGGCATTATTTATTACTATGACTAAACGACCAGTCAATGTGAGCGATATCCAACTTCATTCGCAACAGTCCACCAGTTTTGCTGGCGAAGAGATTAACTTTGCCTACTGTTTATTATTCCAAAACCACAGCCTCTTATAGAACACCCTGCCGAGCGGACCCTTACTCGTAATCATTGCAGGACCGTCCTAGCAATTTATCTACTTGCACTAATAAGCAGGATATAAGTATGTCTTCTATCTTTCTCGCCGAGTAATTCTTGAAACATGTACAAAAAAATTAGTACAAAGGAATAATTTATAATATTAATTACATTTCTACATAGTATCGTTATTAATATACATAATATTAAATATAATAACAATAAAGTATCAATCACTTAGGAAGTCGCTACTGCCGACACCTAGTTCAATGATCAACTCCTTTTATTACTCGTTTTTCACAGTTGGACCAGCTTTCTACTGATATTTTAGCTACCTCTTGCCGACTTACGTTTATGGTACTATCAACAAATTTTGGTGCAGTGTTATTTCTTCTATGCGCTTTTAACTCAGACCAAATCATCTCAATCGGGTTAAATTTACAATGATACTGGAGTAATCTCATCATCATGTCCGTTATATTGTGCTATCGAATCGCTTATATAATCTATAGTCTTAAAAACGTTTGTTGTTTACAAAACGAAAAACTATGTAGAAGACACAAAAATATAAGAAGAAGAATGTTGTTAATCGACAGGCACACATGACAAAAATGATTATTTTCAAACTTACCTATAAGATAAATAGTGAACAAGTACTTACCCTTACCCGTTGAAGTATCCAGCGAAAACAGCCTCGCAGGGTCAAAGCTCGAGAATCAGGTACATAAATACGTACTTACTGGAAGGATCGCAGTGAAATACCTCCGTAATATATACGAACATATTGCAATTTCAATTAAACTCCCAAGAACGATACGTGTCACCTGATGTTAAAATAAACGCTTCTACTTATACTTCATGGAGAATAAACATCTGTTGGGATGTACTTAATACGTCAAAGCAATAAATGCACTATATTTTTGGTCGCTCGATACAAACAGCGTGTTTTTTTCTGAAAAATAATGTTAACCAAAAACGTTTTTTATTTTACAACTGCGGAAACTTAGGATTTTTGAAATGCAGATTTAGCTGGAACGTTTCGTCTCTTGTCGCAGGTACAAATCGAACCAAAGGACTAGCGGCGTCGTGAGGAACGTCGTGGGAGGCAGCGGCGTCGGCGGCGGCCACCAGGCGGCCGGCGGCAGGGGGGCAGCTGAGGTTCGGCGCGCCTACAAGGCGGCCGTGTTGCCTGCGTGCGGGACAGCGAAGGCGGTCACGCGCGGGAGGCGGGGAGCGCGGGGAATGAGCATGGGCCAGAAGGTCAGCGGCGGAGTCAAGGCGGTAAACGGCAGAGACGCCGCAGCCGCCCCGTACAAACCGGTGATCCCGAGGGAATTGGCGCAGGACTTTGCGAGGCCGCCGCGGCTCGACATGCTGCTCGATATGCCGGCAGCGTTGAGGGAGACGCAGCTCAAGTACAGCTGGAACCAGGACGATCGTTCTTTGAACATCTTCGTCAAGGAGGACGACAAGTTGACGTTTCACAGGCATCCGGTCGCGCAGAGCACGGACTGTATACGGGGAAAGGTCGGGTTTACAAAGGTAAGAGGACGTCTTCACCGCATATGCATTAATTCGGCCACGGCGTAGAAGCGCTTGAAAGTAAAGGTATCCTATTATATTTAAAAATATGGCATGGAATTGAATATGAAAACCAATTGAAAAAGTATGACGAGAAACTCAATGACTGGTATTTTCCCCCACGTGTAAGGATGACAGGTGCAATGCGCCACATACCTTCAATAATGTACCTTTCTGATGTCTATTTTGAGATATAATTTTCGGTAATAAGCATGAAGGAGTCCTTAATGCGATAGCTTTTAAAACTTGTAATTGGCACGTCCTTTCCAACCCATCAATTCCACCGGCCCAGTTCTCCTCGTAAACTGCAATCAATGGGGGGAAAATCGTATATTTTTGGACAATAACCAAAATGTTGTAGTGAACCATACACGGATATGTCATTTTTTTTTATATGAGTTACAAATGATCTAAAAAGTGTCCTATCATATACAATATAAATATTTATTGGCATCAGTCTGAAAATATTGGTATATACTACATATAACCGATTGTCACAGTCAACAATAGTCAACATAAAAAATAAGGGTTCAAGGAAGGAAAAAAAAATTGAGAAAAAATATCAACAATATCTTGTTATCAACATATATAACAAAGAAAACAATTGCCATTGCTATCCAGATCGATAAAGTTGAAAGACCTATATTCGGTAATTTCCAGGGTATGCACTGTTGGGAAGTGTGTTGGTCGACGAGGCAACGGGGTACGCACGCAGTGGTGGGCGTGGCAACTGCCGAAGCGCCCCTCCACTCGGTCGGGTATCATAGCTTGGTCGGTAGCACGGACAACTCGTGGGGCTGGGACTTGGGCAGGAACAAGCTCTATCACGATTCGAAAAACCAACCGGGGGTGCTCTACCCCGCGTTGCTGAAACCTGACGAAACGTTCATCGTACCCGACAAGTTCCTTGTCGTCTTGGACATGGACGAGGGCACGTTAAGTTTCGTCGTCGACGGCCAGTACCTGGGCATCGCGTTCCGCGGTTTGAAGGGGAAGAAACTCTACCCGATCGTTAGCGCCGTGTGGGGCCATTGCGAAATCACTATGCGATACATTGGCGGATTAGATCGTGAGTATTCTGTTCCTTCAATTTGGTCTATTGAGTCGCAGAAGTGGTTATTTAAGAAACATCAAAAAGTACGTTCTTTTTTTCAAAGGAATTTACAAAACTTCTGGATTTCTTCTGCGTCCAGCAGTTTTGTAAATAGTATCAAAAAGTGCGATTTGTGGTTTAAATTTTTTCAACCCTGACCGCACTTAACATTAATTTATAATAATAATACTTTATTTACTCATTTCCATTTTGTTACTAATTAAGAGTGTATGCAACAAAAAATGCAAAACCATAAAAAAAAATTAACATCAACAATTAGGACAAATATTGTTTAAAAGAGAAGTGTTTAAAATTTGAATTTTTTTATATTTATTTTATATTTTTAATATTAATATAAAATATCCCTATTTTTTACTATTACAAATGCAATGCAGAATCTCATGTGTTGGTAAATACTTAGATTCTCAACATTAAATGCTTTTTCAGTACGAATCCGAAACTTTTATGTGCTGATTAAAAATGTCGACTATAAAATAATGGCAACAAAAACAATTCCAGTTTTTGCTCTAACTAAGATTGTTATTTACAGTTCATAAGACCAATTGAGTCTCAATATGACATATTCCAACATAAAACTCATAAAGCATTAAATATTCTTTGATAAAAATATTGTTAATGTCTTTAGTTGTTCCTTCGTTTTCTATTTCTTATTCTTAATTATTATGATGATAACGTAACCCCACACGCCAATGGAGGGAAAATGTATAGGTTTGACCTTGAACAGCAATTACAACTTTTGTATAGTTTTTATAACAAAATTCTATTTTTCTTTCAGCCGAACCGCTTCCATTGATGGACCTCTGTCGTCGGGTAATAAGACAAAGACTTGGCAAGGCCCATTTGGAAGAGAAAGTGATGGGACTTCAGCTTCCGCAAGCGCTGCAGACTTACCTCCTGTACAGAGACCGAAGATAATACCGAAGAACCGAAAAGTTGTCTTCCTCGCCGCTTGTTTTGTAGTGACCATGCGCGCGTAATCGACTCAAATCTCGTGAACGAATCGTCGCAGTAACATTTCGCGGGTTTTAATTTAACCAAAAAAAAAGATAAAAATTAAAACAAAAAATCAATCTGACTGCCAAGTGTAACATATATGATTTTTCGAAACGGTAATCTATCGAGCATCGAACAGTTTTTTCATTTGCTCCATGATGGTGTTTTTAGTTCATTACTTACGAATCTCCCGTTCGGTTTGCGCGAACTTAGCGTTCTGACAGAACCCACAGTGCGAACTCTGTCTTTTGTTTTTTTTTTTTAGTGATTTATATCTTTGATGATCTCTAGTGGGATAGTAGTTCGAGATACTTAGGACCGCAGGTGGTGATGAACGAGAAGAATTTTACAACATACAGTATATATAAATATATTTTGAAAAATAAAAATTGTCTTCTTGTAAAACGTTTAAGCACATTGGCTTCCTGATCATAGCTTTACTTGATAGTTTTTAATGTTAACCGAATAAAATGAAAACCAGGAATGTACCAATGGAACGACTGTACGCGTCAGACTCCTCCTCCCGTACGTTTTCGTACCGGGGAGTCCGGCGGAAGAGAATAGATGACGATTCTCTATGTATAGTAAAGTGCCCTAGCAATTTTGACAAGGAGCATCACACTATCCATTGATTGACTGACTGTAAATACATATTTTTTTTGTATTTTCGTTTCCGCTTTGTTTTCGATCCTTTCGAGCAGCTTGTTTGTAGTTTTAGACGCAAAATTCTATTCCCGTTGTTGATTTTTTTTGGGATTGTTTGTTTTTCTTTTAGGGTCTCTGAGCTCCACCCCCTAGCGAACGAGAAAGTTTCGCCAGTTGGAAAAAAATTAATGGCAGATGTGTTTTTTTTTTTTTAATAAAAGTTTGTTTACAGTAGGTATTCATCGCTCGGGCCAGACAGCTTCGTATATTTGAACTACTCAGTATATCTTGCATGTATATCCCATCATACCTCTCCTGTACCTCTATATAACTTGATATACTGCTCCTATACATATCTCCTACACCTTCACATAACTCTCCTATACTGTACTTCTCCTGTACTTCTATATACCTGTCCTATACCTTTTGTATGCCTCTGTCCATATATAAGTGTAAAGGCCCTAGCGACGTAACTTACTGTTAAAGTAGTAACACTGTTTGCGTCACAGACACAACAAAAAATAACTTTTCTAGATTTTTGTTAAGTTTTTTTTTTTGTTTAGCCGGGCACAGGTTCCACCTTAAAAGTTTTCGGATATGGTTGGGTGAGGGTACATTTTTAGCCAAAAAGCTGGCTCATGATATTGCTATGGACTACTTCTTATGCCTAACATATACCCCACATTCCTCGCCTATGCTTCCATATAGATCCCATTTCTCCTCCTTATTGCTCTCCTCTATACTTCTCCTATGCTTTCTTATATCTCCATATACCTCTCCTATGCCTCTATATATATTAGGTATAAATGTACCGACCTGCCTGAAAAGTCAGAGGCACAAAATTTTTTTGTTAAGTGTTTTTCTTGTGTTAAGCTGGGCAGTTGTTTCGGTCGTTAAGAACCTCCTAGAAAGTCGGATCGTGATATTGCAACAAACATGTTCGACACAAGACGAGTAGCAATTCGATTTGACATAATTGCGAAGGCACTTTACCTTGCTCGATGGCCGCACACTTCCAAGCCAAAACACTAGATAAATTCCATCCCGTATTATTCGCGAGCGGTTTCACAAAATATAGGTCGGCCATTGGGCAAAATTAGATCGTAAGGAAGTTAGACATATTTTTGTAAATAAGACGCCTAGATAAGTGCCAGTTCAAACACACACACCATAACGTATACATAATTGTTCGGGAAACACGCGAGGCGCGAGACGTTTTTATATAAAGTTAAGGGTTTTTTTTTGGTAGGAAAATTTCCCCCTCATCCGCCGCATCCGTTTGAAGATATATTTAATTATATTAATTACGTAATATTTGGTCATGTGATGACTGCCATGTTTGTGTCGAAGAGTGTATAAATGTAATACGCCGTTTATTGTGTTTAGGTTTTAGTAGGGATATTTTTTTGTAATTACGGTCGCTGGATTTTTTTGGCGGTCGATTCGAAATTTCGCGTTCGTTAACGTTCGTGTGTAAATATTTTTTTTAACAGGCACGTCGTTTTTGCGTTTTTGAAATTTACCTCTTGGGAGGCGATGGAACCGCTGCCCGTCGTTTGGTTAACATATTCCCCCATTGTACATTCTTTCGAAAGAGCTGCATCCACTGTGTTCAATTTCTCGATACTTTAAACTGCTAATTTCTTAATTTCTTTTTTGTAATTTTGAAAATTTCTCCTTTGCCACGCACGAGGACGTGTATAAAAAAATGAAAAAATTGCAATTTTTCTAGCGGACCTGGACGAACTTATGATGTAAGTAGGACGTTTTTCTAATTATATTTAAGTTTTGCTGTGAGAGTCCAGGCGTACTCTTAAGTTAATTGATGTATGTTTATGATGAAAATAAAGTATTTAAAGAAGGCGGTCGGTTTTAATTTCCGCTTCCTGCTGAAGAATGACAAGATTAAAAATAGACGAAATTAAAGGTATGAGCGTTCAGTTTCAAAGAAACGGTAAACTGTGTGTCCAGTTAAGGATGTGATATGGATATCGGAAACTATAGTAGATACTTGAGGAAATATATAAGATTTGTCAGCAAAGATCAAAAAACGACAAACATAATCTTGGGATTATTACACTATTGGGGCACTTTTTTACCAAGATATGATGACATAAAAGGAAGCAGATTTTTTTTTATTGGTGTAATATTGAATATTTTCATAGATAGGGCATAAAAAATGCTTAGACAGCCCAATTGTTGCTATAAACAATTAATTTCAGTTAACATACCGAATTGTATTAGATACGCGAGCTTTTAATTTATTTAAAAATTCTTTGATAATAGTTCAACATGCTACAGTGCTGAATTTTGTGCCATAGAAATACTTGATATGCTAAGAAGCAGTATTTAAATACAAAGATTACAGTAAAATAAACAGATTTGTGCAGGATTGGTTGCCAATTTATGGCTCATTTCAAAAATCAGTAACAAAAAGAAATAAACATTATCATTAACTGAAGAAATTTTGTTTGAAATTTAATTCTAATTCAGTGGATGAGATCATTGACTTTCTATAAACTAAATCAAATCAAAATTTGCTTTTGTGACCCTAATAATAATAATAATAAATGCATAGTGTCATACATCATTCAAAAGCATTTTTTTTTGTTTCTCATAAAATTCTTTAAAACCTTATATTCCTATCTTACCTTGGACACACTGTATAGTAAGGACAAATGGTGAGATTGTGTTAATAACATCAATAGCATGAATATTTTATTTTTATTACTTGCTTTCACTGTTATTTTTTCTTTCTTAGCAGGGTATAATTCACTTCTAGTTCCCCTAAACTAGTATAGGAAGTCCACTATATTACCTACCTTTGCTTTTATAACTTCTGCCTTACTTTTACTAATTTTTAAGATATTACTCACATTTCCTATTTTTCAGTCAGTTCTAAACTCATTCTCTCTCTTCAATTTTTCTGATATTTTAAATAAAAAATATTTGCATTTTGAACTCTACCAGCCGTTGCACTTTTTACAAATTCCATAAATTTTAGAATAGGAAAGACTTTTTCCATAATGGTTTTGTGGCCTTTAAATTTTAATTTTAGAATGTCAACTATACATGCTCACCATCACCGCTATACGTCATTGGTTCTTTTATTTTTTCGTTAAAGCTATATAGTTTTCTTAGTCCCTTGGTAGCCAACATTTTGCGTTATTGATAGCAAAGTCTACCAAAAAAAGAGGAAAGGAAGAACCTGTTTCTTTGCCTGTAGCGCCTTCATTATCAGGTTTATTAATTTAGATCAAAAAGATGAAAATATAAGTTGCCAATTTTTTTTGTTCTACCTTTACACAGGAGGAGTTTTCATTAAAAAATATATTTACCCTACAAATTTCGAACATGACCGATAGCGCAAACAATAATTAGCTAAGTAACCCAGCTAATTAACGCACCTTATGTTTAAATATTGCTAGAAAAAACTATGGAAATGAGGAAGGCCTGCACTCATAGTTCTTAATTATTATACTTCGTGAAAACGTAAATTGTATGATTTGAAAAGTTGCGCATCCACCATATAGTGACAATTATGGTTAGTAGTTGACCTTTGAGTGGGCGAAATTACAGATTTTCATTATCAAGAACATAATAATAATTTAATTAATTTATTTTGCTTATTTCTTGACCATTGGTCAAAACATCAGTTGGTTAAATTGTTGCGCTTTCACCAGATTAAAAAAGTCCACCGTTAGATTGTAAAAATGATTTTGGATGGATTTGGTATACTGTGGCCCCCCAAAACTATACGTCCATATTTTAACCACTCTATCCATGTACTAAAATGAAGATTCTTGTCAACTAAGTAATTGATATTAAATATAAACCATTTGTAAAACATAAATAATTTTTCGGCAAAAGAGTGCGTCCTATTGCATAGAGTCATTTGTGTGAAGAATGCCAGATTTCGCAATGTTGTAGTTTATATTGCTAAAAATCAACAATTTAAGATTGTTTTTATTGTAATTTTTTCTATATAAACTCTAACTGGTATTAATTGTTTTAGTCAGTTTTTCCACCCCTATTCGCAGAACCCACTCCCCTTCAGACGACTTTTCCGCAACGCACACAAATTTAAATTTATATTGCTTCATTACCGAAACAACCCTCATCAAACCCCTCCCGAATTATCTACATCCCTAGTACGCTTAACTCGGCAAGAAGCTCTCAAAAAATCACGACGCGTCTACCCTACGGCATTACAAACCCTCACCCCACGTAGCTTTGCCGCGGAGATTCTCCCAATACGGCACGAGAGGGTTCAAATGCCTCCAGACAGGAACTCTGCTCGTTTGAAGCACCCTGTATGACATTTGTGTTCGCGAAGGTGGTAGACGTGCTTGCGACGTTGCCGCTACCGTCGGCCATAAGAGATGTTGACTAATTTCTGTTCTTATCTTATAACTCCTAGAGTATCGCTTTCGAAAATTTGGGCTGGTCTATCGAATCGAAGGAAAAGTAGATAACAAAACTAATCAATTCAAAGACAAAAAGTAACCAATAATTTACGTTATAAAATATTTTAATATTTATATATAAAAATTGCATGTTATATTCATAGATATTCATTTTATAAACGCAAATTTGAAATGCCACGTACGATTTTTTCTAGCATAAAATGAATCCACTTGCACAAGTTCCATCTGTAAAATGAAAGAGCAGTCCTATAGATTTTTTTTAAAATTGCTTAAAAATTGAAGAAAGTGCCTTTTTATTCCAAAAACCTAAACGAACTTGGTGGCCAATTGAGAAAGGAACCGGGCTCTATCTCGGAAAATGGGTTTAGTAAAGACTTACAGTAAAAAAACTTATGGCTAAAGCGGCCAGGGGAAAATGTTGGAAAATTATTTTCAAATTTCTAGCACACTTAAAGCCATTGCAAATCCAACGATCCACCCGTTCCGGACAAATGGGCTGTCCAGTGGATGACCAGGAATCGCACTGACGGTAGCTTGAAGATATCCATTGAACTCACAAATGTCACACTTCTGGATGTCATTTTGTAACCCACATACCTATACACACAATTATTTTAAAATCCAAAACTATTTACAGAAATATTGAAGAAAGGAATATTCAAATATTAAAGTTTTTGAACCATGGGAGTAATAATTAATGTGATAGGCGGTGACGTCACATGATACCTGTGTCCAAAAATAATTATAAACAAAATGTAAAACAATCGATCGATTCAAAGCCACTGTAATGTAATCGATTGTGTGCATATCGTGACGAAAGTCTTCAACAAATAATCCAACAAAAATATGCCCTTGGATACTTTATCTAATGTATATCGTGCCTAAATTTTGTATCATTTTATATTATATCCGACAGTGAATATTTAACATTAACATACAAAGAATACAAAGAATTTCCTAGACTACATTTGGGGATAGCACTCTTGAATCTTAAATCCCGCTTTTGAAGAAATTATCTTTTATTATAGATAATTAAAATGAACAAAGAATCGTTCGAATTCGCATCGTAAAGCATTGTTTGAAAGATCGTTTTTCCGACTGTGTCTACAAATGGTATAATACTGTTTCCAATATTTCGGCTGCTGGATTGATCGAGATATCCAAGAATCCTTTATATGAAATCCGAGAAATGCATTCCAGAAGTTCAGGTCGATGCTTTCAAATAATACACATAACAAGATAAATGTTTGTAAAATTTTACCTATAGTCGATTCTTATGCCTGGATCCGAAATATTAATAAAAAATGGTCAATAAGATCGAAGCATTTTAAATGTGGGCTTAAAATATCCTGGAGCACAAGAACCAGAAATGAAGAAGTTCTTCGAAAAATGGGATACGACAGACTTCTGAATATAATTAGAGGACTTCGATAGTACTCTTACATATCCTTAAAATAGAAGGAAAAAAGTGGATTGGGCGTAAGAAGCTTTCATAGTTAAGAAACCTGCGACAAAGGACAAGCCTTAACGCAGATGAGTTACTCCATGTAGCACGAGATCGGGAAAGATATAGAGACATGTTTTATATGGCAGTCATCAATGTTTATAGGGACATGACACTTGAAGAAGAAGATGTTAATGAATATATTCGGTATGTATCGTAATATGTTAAGATTTAAGTAAATATGAAATTAGGGACTGAGCTTTGATCTTTTTTAAAATTGTTGCTCAGTTCCTTTTTTTGTGTTGTGCTTTTGGTTTACTGCTAATAGATAAATGTAAATACGAAGTGCAAAAAATAAACGTACATTATTATTGTTATTATGGCTGAACTCATTTTGTAAACATTGTTCTGAACAGAGTGATTTTGATTGCTTAGATGGCGTTTGTGACATCGCTACAAATAATATTTATTTTCTCAACAAAATTAAAGGCCATGCAGTCAGTTTTATTGCAACAAAATATAGCCAACTAAGGATGTAAAACGTTAGTGAAAACCGCATTTCGAAATATCTTTCTAAATAATCCATTGATTCTTACAGAAACTTCATACTATTAGCACAACTCTTTATAGCGTTTTCAACGTTTTCAACGTACACTTCTACTATTTCTGGGCCATCCTGTATATTTTTTAGTTTTCTCGAAAATTTCCGTTTAAATTGAAGTATACTTAATTACGCGTACGGAAAAACAATTTAAAAACACCTCCACCGAAAGATCGAGTATCTAGGTGTAGCCCTTTCCTCCCCGGCTACATCGTCGCATTCCTACCCTCGTCGTCGTCTCCTGCAGCTTCGAGGGTGGATTTTCTTATTGATTTTCCCTGACGTCACGTGAGGGTTTCCCGGCAACGGAGGCGCGTGCGCGCTCGCATCTTCGAATCGACCTCGCACCGAAGACAATTTCCCAGGGTCTTGCGATACCCCGCGAGTCCCATCGGAGGGTGTTTTTTTTTTTGGTGTTCGATGTTCCGACGCGAGTGATCGGTAGTTTTCAGTGCGACGAGGAGAAAAATAGAAAATGGGCACCGTGCTTAGTTTTTCGCCTCGAGAGAGGAGACCGGTGTACACGACCAGCAGCACGGCCGACTTCACGCTGAACAATTTCTCGTACGAACAGTTGAACAACGTGAAAAACAACCGGGAAATATGCTCGTCGAAACCTGCCCTCACTCACTCGAATACCCACACGTTGAACAATATCAATAACAATGACAGTGCCAGGATTATATCGGAGAAAAACGCCTTGGAGAAGAACCTGAAGAAGCACTCGTTGTTTATAAACGCGTTGTCGTGGAAACGATTTTCCACGACGAACAACAACAAGAAGAAGTTGGAAAACAACAAGAACAAGAACATTACCGTCTACAGGCAACCGTTGGTGGATAACATCCACGTCGTGGACAAAAACAAAAACATACAGCAGCAGCAACAGTCGAACAAACAGGCGACGTATTATTCGACTTCCAAGTCCAGTTCAGCCCTAGCGTTGGACCTTGTGAGGGTTAACAATGCGAACAATACCAACTACCATTTGCACTGCGAAAAAATCACCAACAAACAAGCGCTTCCGAGTCAAAGAGAGTCGAATCAGGTCGTGCCTGTGGCGGCACCGAGGAAGACAGTTATCCAGGCGTCGACCTCTGAACTGTTGAAATGTCTGGGCATGTTTTTGCACGCTAAATGTTACAAACTGAACGATTTTCAAGCGGGAGACGCCGTCATGTGGCTGAGGACCGTGGACAGGAGCTTACTCCTGCAAGGATGGCAGGTAAGAAAAGAAATATTTTGCATGATTTGGTGGGCTGGACGAAAATTTTTGGTTTACATAGGTCCTATGTGGGAATTTTCTCTTGTAGGAGCTCGCGGACTATACAGGGTGCTCAAATTTAACGCGCAAAATTTACGCAGCGTTTATGAAAATAAAACGAAGAAGACGAATAGTTTATTTTTGTCTGCATTCAAATAAATAAACGAGAAAATGGTGGTAGCGACCTTTTTGGCAGCAAATGGTTTGCTCATTGTAACCATTATTACAAACAATCCCCAAAAAAGGCCGTTACGCTAGTTATTCATTTTTAATAGAAATTTTTTTTAAGTGACACTAGTAACCATCATCGCAAACCAGTAGATGTCTTCTGTAAATTTAAATAATTTTTTTCTAAGTATTAAGTATTAACTTAGCTACGAAAGATTTGAATTAGGTCGATGATAAGGGTTTTTGAAAAAGCAAAGACACATTTAACCTAAATTCTGATTTTTTTTTATTCTAATATCTATAAATCTAAGTTTTTCACATTTTTAGCAGCTAAAACTATTCAGTACTGCCCACTGCACAGGTGGGAAATTCAATTTAAACCAAACCAATTTAATTTCTAATATTCTCTGTCGAAAAAACTTTCAGAGTTTATCCCCTGCTCTATTCGACTATAGAATAACCAAAAAAAAAATTCCCATATTCCAATAATATAAATTTTCTCGTATCTATCGAACTAATTAGAAATGTAATTCGATTAACCACGATCACCGCTAATGTTTCTGGTGTGATTATCGGTTCCGCATCTCCAGGTACGGATCGGGTGTTATACTACTATTAAATAATAGTTAGATAAATTGAATTATTATTATATTTTGTATATTTGTGGGAAGAGTGGAGCCCCTCAAATAAAGTTACGGGTCGTCATGATCCCTTCACAAGAAGTGAAATAATTAACAAAAACCAGATAAAACAGTTGCATTATTCGTACAGGTCTTTCCATCTCCAAGTAAACTAACGAAACCTTCACTCCACGTCTCTATACGTGGCCATTTAAATCATGGTAGTTATACTCAACAAAAAGAGAGTGAGAACTATCTGCGTGGAAGTGGCGTAGCGGCTCATCATAGCGACGTGTCACGGATGGCAGATATTTCGATGCGCGATTGATCATGTTCAACGAACGCATGACGTGTGGTTAAACTTGACAACTTCGGAAGAACGAAATCCTTTGGCCAAGTTCAGGACTAAAATGGATTGCTTCTCATATCGATTAGGAGCGCGTGGACTTTAAGCCTTTTGTTTTGTATTTCTTTTGTGTTTGTTTGCCGAGCGAATATATTTTGTATTCCGCGGAAAATCGATTTCGGTAGAGAATTTATACTCCATATTATCTAACGAAAAAGGTTTATAATAACACAAAAAATCAATAAATAAAAGGCACACAGGCTTTTTATACCACTATAAAAACTAACTTAATGTATGGGACACCCGGTATGCCGCCTCGAAAATAGGGTAACGCGATTTTTAACACCATCGTAAAAATTACAGATAAAAGCTTCCCGGTGTGATCTTTTTATTTATAATGCAGACCTGATGGTAGTAAAAATGTATCCTAGATAAGATTTACGGACTTTATATAGGCGGCATAATACGGAAAAATGATGCACAGCACTTATATTCTCGGATCATAAATATGGCGTTAAAATAATGGACATCGTGATTCAGTTTTATGCCATTATTATCTTAATGGCTATTTCATTCGATATAGATATTGGGCAAAGGTTTTAAGTAGTCTTTTATAAAATTTTCCGTTTTCAGAAAGTGACATTTTTCCTCAACGTGGTGGGGTAAAAATAATCATTCGAAATTTAATATTACTTCGTGGTGATTTTTTTTTTGCTTATTGAAATTTTCTAGAAAGTTTAAGTAAACAATTCGCCTCTTCTTACACTTTTTTAATAGAGTGTCAGAAAGGAATATTTAAAAAACATATAACATAATATACACACAATATGGAACCCATGCTGCAAATTCGCATATGAAAGGATCACGGGTTAAAATGTAGTAGTAAAAAGACCTTAAAACTAGGTTTCTTTACAACGCCTTTCCAAAAAATGTTGTGAGTGCAGAAAATAAAAATTTTCCAATTTAAAAAGGAGCAAATAATCAAATAAAACAAAATAAGCACCAACGCGTAAAATCAAATATTTGATTCGTACTAGTGTGAGGCAAAAGTACGACGTACTACTTTCAAAAGTTTATTGGGTCCCAGTATATATAGGTATACCATGACCAAAAAGATTGTGTTTTTACAACCGACTCCGTTTGCCTTTTCCTACTGTTTATTACTCCAAAACCACAGCCTCTTATAGAACACCCTGCCGGGCACACCCTTAGCCGTAACCATTCCAGGACCGTCCTAGCAATTTATCTACTTGCACTAATAAGCCGGATATAAGTATGTTTTCAATCTTCTTCGCGAAGCAATTTTTGAAACATGTACATAAAAAAATCAGTACAAAGTAACAATTTAACACGTTCTATTTCATTACATTTCTAGCTAGTATCATTATTAATATACAAAATATTAAATATAATACTAATAATAAAGTCCCTTTAAAAATCGCCACTATCGCAACTGTTCTCATCTAGTTCAATGATCAACTCCGTTTTCTTCTTTTATTACTCCATCAGTACAGCTTAGAGCTTTGTACTGATATTATAGCTACCTCTTGCCGAATTACCTTTATGGTACTATCACTAAATTTTTGTGCAGTGTTATTTCTTCTTATATGTGGTTTCCAAATCATCTCAATCGGCTTAAATATACAATGATACTCGGGTAATCTCAAGATTTCATGTCAGTTTTGTTGTGCTATCGAACTGCAAATATTATTTATAGTCTTTATAGTTTATAAATCGAAGAACTATGTCAGGTACATAAATAAATACTTACTGGAAGGATATATACGAACATGTTGGTTAAGGTAATGTCTGTTCATGGATATAAGGAAGTGACCAATTGCTCTTGAATGGGATTATCCAAGGGTGATCATTAACATACAATGTCACAAGATTATTACCTAAAGTTTCGGAATTTAAATTCAGGTAAAATTGTGGTCCGTAATAGAAAATAATTTTTTATCTACCTGTGTTTAATATTCTTTGGTTTGTTATACTACTTAGTTTAAGTTTATTAGTAATCATTCTTATTTCGTGTGTAATACGGCATGTGTTGAATCGTGTGCGAATTATGCAAAATATGTGCGAGTCTAGGGTATCTCAGGAGATGCTCCCGCCCAAATGTAGAAAACACTATTCTATTGAGACTAAGGAAGTTATAAACAATGTTTATATGATTCTCATTGAACGTGGTGCCATCAAGCAGGCATCTTCGGAAGAAACGGCCACATTGGCGAAAATTCCAACATCAACTGTATGGAAAATTGTGAATTTCAGCGAGCAAAAAAAGAAGCGATGCTGACATTTTCTCCAGTGTAGATGAAAGTGATCAAGATATAATACGGCGTAAAATTTACCAGTTATACGAAGAACAAAGCGTGCCTACATTATATATCTTAATTAGGAGGCTTGAAAAAGATGAAACCGGTGTAAAATGTAACAGAACTACCTTATGGAAGTGTATTTAACACATGGGTTTTAGATTTTAAAAAAATGACAAAAGGCAAGTTTTAATGGAATCTTTTAGAATTCGGAAATGGAGACTGGAATATCTAGAAAAAATTAGGATTTACAGAGAACAACAAAGGCCAATTATTAACTTGGATGAAACCTGGTTCAACACTTATGATACCCTGGAAAAGGGTTGGGTTGATTCAACTGATAAGTTTAAAACAAACGCGCCAACAAAAAGGGGTAAAAGAATAACTATTTTGAATGCTGGTTCTAAAGATGGTTGGGTTCCAAATGGACTTTCTCTGTCTTACTAAAAATTTTAAAGATTCTTCTCTGGATTACCATGAAGACACCACCGCTGATTTATTTGAAAGGTTGTTTAAAAACAAACTAGTTCCAAACATTCCTCCTAATAGCGTAATTGTAATGGACAATGCAAGTTATCACAGTAGACAGTTGACTAAAACCCCTTCCTCATGTGTCACAAAAGCAACAATCCAAAACTACATGTATAATATTTATTTTCACGAGGATTATACCAAAAAGCAATTAATTGAGGAATACGTCTGTGATAATTATGCAAAAAAAACTAGGGCATACAGTTTTAAGGCTTCCACCTTACCACTGTATATTTAATCCCATTAAACATGTTTGGCACCAACTGAAATCTGCCATTCGTCGTAACAATATTTTTCCCCGTGTTATCTCCAATATCCTCAAAGTTATATAAACCGAAGTTTTTAACATCCCTCCACAAAGTTGGGCAAATTCTGTTAAACATATAGAAAAAGCAGATATTGCAAATAATATAGAACAAATAATAATTACAACAAGCGATGATAGCGATAGTGATACTGATATATTATGTGAATTATTTTAACTAATTTAAGCAGGTAATAAAAATAATTTGTAATTTTATTTTAGATTTAAACATAAATACGTACATAAATAAATAAATGTTGTTTAGTATATTTCCTAACAAAACCCCAAAAAATTAAAGTCTAAGCAAAGTACGGACCTGTTCGGCCATATTTCATTCTTACAGCTTGCCCGGGTCTTTCCTTAATTTGTATCAGTTAGTCACTTTCTTATATCTATGAACAGACTTTACTGTAAAATGCTTAAAACGTCAAAACAATAAACGCACTCTATTTTTGGCGGTACAATATATACTGAATCGCTAGAGTTTGAAACACGGTTGACAAACTTGACCAAAATAAAAGATTAAATTATGGAGGATTGATCTAATAAGTGATCTACCGAAGTTGACATCTTCCGGTTACACAACCTGATGAAACTTTGGCAATTCCTTTACTCAGCAAAATAAAATATAGTTTACTTTTATTGATTAACGAGTGCAACACAAGCACATCAATCAACTCAAATGAATTTGTCAACTTCGCAATTGGAATGGCGTGCTGAACGAATTCTCGGTAAAACGCCTTAACTGAAAACAATAACGGTGTCGTGAACCTTAGAAGCTGGGGTTAAACCCATTGTGGATCGATATTACATTAGCGATGCCTGAATAAGTATTCATCCTTTCACGTGTAGGCTACAGGTGACCTGGAAGCAGACGATTGTATTTTTAGACCTTTATCGAGTATTTTTACTTACTCCACGGGTTTTGTAACGCATATTGTCTTTTAATACCGCCCGTCGTCTGGTTTCTTCGACGTTCATCGGGGTGAGTTAACTTGCTCACTACTTGTTTCAAAACATAAAATTAAAACCCAAAGGAATAACAATACTTTACTATCGAAATACATGAAGCACTGGCGCATATTTGTAAAAAATAAGGGCATGTCATAAAATAATTTATTGGTTAAAAAAAATACTTTTGAAATAGATGTAAATACACATTAAATAACGGCAGTCCTCAGCGATCAGTAGGGTTGATTTATATAAGCAATCTCTTTGAGGGAGTCCCGTCTTGTCTGTTTGCTGACACATACAACACGTTAATAAAGAAATGTAAATAACATTTAGACATTCCCATAGATTCCGGACGGAAAATCAAAGTTTTTAACGTTTTTTGGCCTGAACTTTATCATAGATAGAACTGGCTGAGCAAAGAAATTCTATTAAAACCTACTTAGTAAATACGAGCATTTGCCATGGGGAGGTTTGTGCACCTACGCAAGCAATTACATCACCATTCAATCTTTATATCACCTTCTTAAATCTATAAGTTAATGTGGTGAGCCAAAAAGTAATCTCATAAATATTTTCCATGCCTGCCAACAAGTGCGGTAAACGGCATTTGACTCACGAGTTTATTTGACGCGAGCGGAGCGAGTTTTTAATAAACGAGTGAGTTAAAAAGTTTACCGAACGTGTTGCATACTATACTTTTTCTACGACCGTTAGTTTTTGGGAACATTTTCGCAAAACAACACAAATATATTCACTGAGATGACCGTGAGAATTGACAAACGTCAAATTTCAAAGCGTGGGAAATATCTCCGAAAACATCCGATCCCGGATATGTCCGAAGTGGCTCGGATTCATGGAAAACGAAACTGACGTGGTAAAGTGACGCTTCCCGCACGCTAGATCGGTGGGTAATTAGGTATTTTACAGACGGGAGTAGAAAAAATAATATTTTTTAAAAAAATTCAACGAAAATTCAAAACATTTGAACCCGCAATCTTTTTGCAGGACGTGGCCTTCATCAATCCTGCGAACGTTGTGTTCGTCTACATGCTGGTGAGGGAGTTGGTTAAGGAAGAGATTGAATGTGAACAGGATTTACAAGCTGTCGTTCTGACTTGTTTGTATTTATCTTACTCGTATATGGGTAGGTATATGTTTATTTGCAATACATATTCAATTCTTTTTTCACTATTTCTTTGTTTTTATTTATTTATAAATTTGCTAATACTAATCACTAGAAAATATTTAGTATGAGAACAAATATATTTAATTCAACTATATGATTATACTGAGCGGTCATCTTCGTATCTTAACAGCTAAAAGGGATGTTTTGAAACAGCTTTCCTTGGGGAAAACAACTTAACAAGTTTGAATTAAGAAAAAATTCCTAATAATTTTGAGGAAACTTCAAATATTTTAAAGATACTTATCTTTAACTGTAGTTTATAGTATTGTGAGCAAATAGTAATAGAATTTCCAGAACATTTAATCAAATCAAACTATTTGTCTCATGTAATTTTACTATTTTAGTAGTCCTTGTCACACTTTTTCATTTTTTTTATTTCCCAAAAAGTAAAGTATTTTACTTATCTTTATTACCTTGTTATCTGTATTGTGAGTTTCTAACAAGTTTATAAATTTCCTTGAGTATAATATGAATTTTATCCTGCATCCAAATGATCCCTTAGTATTTTTAATTTTACGCCGCAGGAAATGAAATCTCTTACCCGCTCAAGCCGTTCTTGGTAGAGGACAGCAAAGAAAAGTTCTGGGACCGTTGCCTGGACATCGTCAATCGCCTTTCTTCCAACATGCTTCGGATAAACTCGGAGCCGGGCTATTTCACCGAAATCTTCACTGAACTGAAAGCCTGCGGGACCACTAACGAAAGGAACCTAGTAGCCACCAACTTATCGACGATGGGTTGTCAAACGGTTCCGGTAGTTCCGTGCAATACCGGTACTCACGGCGCTTGACAAAAGGAAATGACTGTCGTTAAGTTAAGCTTAGCTGAAATTCCACCTGTGCCGTGCGAAGTTTAAGGAAAAAGCGGTAGTGGAAAACATCCTTTCGGAACTAAGAGTTCGTCTTGCCTTCGTCAGCTTAATGAGGTAGTTAGATAATCGCACAGAAACGGAAGTTTCGGCTGTTGGGGGAGGAAACTGCATTCGAAACTTAAGGAGTCCCTCATTTCCCTCTGTTCTGACTCGATCGGTATTTCTGTAAACTCTTTTGCCCTTGTTTTCGTCACATATCACCATATCTCTCAACAAATCACGTATGGGTATTTTATCCGAAATTCGTAATGATAAATGTTTAATGTGTATTGAACTCAACAGTAGTTGTTTACTGAATGAATGAGAAAACTAATCTTTGAATTCGATCTTGAGTAATTCTTCCACCACTTCAAAACATGAGAACGGCATTCTTATGGGTACTTTTCGTGTTAGTTTGTTAATTGAGAATTAAATTCACGAATTAAATTATATTCTGTCGATATAGAACCTACGGATTACTTTTTTTGTATTTTAACCTAATGGGCCTCTATTGTTGCGTATTTGGTTGTATGGAGTTGCTAAAGTTAGATTTTTGCATAATATTAACTTGACCACTTTGGGGATCCCAAAGTTCAAACTCACTAAACGGAAAAAAGGTGTTCTTCCTCTTTCGAATTCTTGTTTGCTTTTCTTAAAAAAGTTACTTAATTCGTCACTGGTTTTATGGCGTTCAGGATTTTTTCAAGTCTAATTTTAAGTAACATATTTTGTGTGTATTATGTATACATATTTCACTATTTATTTATATTATTTTCTTTCCTTATAATTTATTTGCTGCTATTAAGGCAAAGTTTTGGGATAGATTTAAACGAAATGCGGCGTTGCCAAGTTAGCGAATTTAACTTTACTTTAAAGTGCGTGATTGATGATCGATCTGAGTATGACGAAGAAATAGGGACGTGTTACATACAATGTATTTTTGTAATCGGCTCAGTGTGGTACCATAGACAAATTATTAATTAATATCAGAGTATATTTATGTCGTTACTATGGGAACCAATTCAAAGGCGACTTATAATAAGACGGAACAGAAGCGAGTCGTCTGCGTTTTACTGACTCGAAACAATTTTTAAAAAATGTTACTAATTGAAACAAAAATTGAAGAAGAATAACTAAATTCTCATATTAATTTGAAATTTTTAACCAATTATCTTTTATCAATTAAAATATGTTGGTTTTCCAATTGTTCTAACTAAAATTTCAGCTCAGTCCAGTTTTCCAATATCAAAAAGCACGACAAATAGACACTTTATGATGAATTAAGAACCCACAAGAAACTTAACTTAAAGAAAGACGATTAGTGAAAGATTGGTATGCATGTCGGTGAAAATTAGGGCAATCGAGGACACTCTCTAGTCCTTTGGAACTAAATCGTTCTCAGTAGTTCCGGTTAGCGGCAAGGTGTTTCCAAAGTGCTCAGCAGCTTCCAGCAACGCGTTCGTTATCGAAAAGTTTGGATTTTTCGCTTTGGATACATCGACAACTTTTTCCTTTCGGGTTTTCGGTATCTGAGCGATCGAAATTACTTAAGTAGCCGGTAAGCATTTATTTCTCGGACGAATCGTCGGAGGGGAACGATTCTTTTTCCGGGATCGGTTTGAGTAAACAATGTTCTAAATCACTTTTTTCGTGTTTACGCGTTTATTTTCAAACACAAATTAAATTTCGGCTTCGCGTGATTGTATTCCCACCACACTAAATGAGAGTTTCGCGTGATAAGCTCGCGTATACAATAATATCGAATTCGAAATCCCGCTTTCATAAACAAATTCCCTTTAAAACCTATCGTTTTGTATAAATTTCTCTCGTTAAATTAGTGCGTAAACCGTAGCTGTTGATATTTAGCGGAAACCATCATTACCTAATTATAACTTTTCACCTATTTTCGAACACACCCTGTATAATGGCGTATGTAACCACGTCCCGATGACGCAAGTTCGCTCGATATATTCTGCGCTCAACGTCATAGGGATGGCGTACGTTTGGTGATCCTTAAGGAAAACTGTAGATATATAACATAAGTCACTAATTGATAAGGTTTGCAAGAATTATAACAGGGCGTATCGGCTTATCGTGGCAGGACTTTTAACAGTCGATGGTGTTTTTGAAGTCGAACAGTGAACAAATGATCAGTTTTCGAGATACGTTAGAAAAATTACACATTTTTATTTATATTTCGAGGATGCAAGTCAATATCAAATAAAAGCAAGCAAAAATATTCCCATGGCTAAGCAAATTCATATTAAAAGAAAAGGTGGTACTAAAATGACAGCTGCCAATATAAAAATAAAACTTTTGGCAATTTTCAATGTTTTCATATTCCGATAATTCCAATTTTAATTTTTTTTAAAAGGTTTTTGACAATTCTTCTTCGGTAAGTTCCACTTTTAAATTCTAAATTATTTACAATTACTTCTCTATTCACAGTTCCTATTTAGATTTATAACAACTAAGATATCAAGGTATTACACATCAAATTAACAACCTTCGTCAATCAGAAATAAAAAACGAATCAAATTAAAGTTTTACTATGTTTAAAATAAATCAATTTTTATTTAAGTACACAGATAAATTGCCGAATAGCTCAACAACTGCATTCCGCATTAAAAATTGCCATTTTACAACAGTGCCAAATTGCGAAAGAAGCAGCGGCGTTGCCACTTTTATTTCTTTCTTTTTTCCAACCGAATCATGACAAAAAATATTTCTTATTGGTGATTATTTTTGATTGGTTGTTATTTGATATTCCTTAGGGCTCCTGGAAATGGTTCCTGGAAATATTTAATTATAAACTCCGTGTCTCAAACACCAAGCAATTGTTGACTATATTTTGTCAGACGTAATATCGACTGTTCAACTCGCACTACTATAAATTGATACCTACCCACTTTATAACCCTAATTTCTAAATTATCCAGAAGATAATTAAAAAAAAAACAAAACGTATTCTGGTCGGGAATTGTGCAATTCAGATGTTGAAAAACCTTCTTTCTCGCAGCGTTTTTCAGTGAGAAATTTAGGGTATAAGTAGCTAAAAATAAAAGTGATTTTTTTTAATATACAAGGCCGTAAACGGCAAAAAACTGTAGATACTAACCTTAAACGATGTCGCCCGGTATATTTGTAGTTGTGCACCAACGTCCACGTTGGCAGTTGTGTTCCGTGCACTTCCTGTTGGAGGTTAGGTTTTCGTAACGTACCTAAATTAGGCAACCATTTCTACCCGAATGACGATGTAGTAAATAAACAATGTTTTATGTTAATGTGGATTAATGTTGAGACCTACCGTTAATTTGTTGACGCGTGTTTGTTTAAATTCTGCAGTGTGACTCGGTTAGTTTTCGTTAGTACCGAATTAAATTAAACTTTTGTTGACTGACGCTTGACAATTCCAACGGAACCCCAATGCCTGTTTCGTTTTTAACTTTAACGTACTCAAAATTTCTTTTGTCCGATTACAATTGCTGCTAAGCTTCCTTACCTAAAATGTTGGATTTAAATATCCAAAACTTCAGGAGATATTAAACCAGCACTAAATCCAGATTTTGGTAGTCAAAAATCTAATTTTTACATTTACTCAATTATGAGACAATTACTCGTAAAAGCCAAAGCAGTATAGTGACTAAAAAACTGCTTCGTATTTGGCAAATTTTATGCTATTTTATGCTGTGGTGTTCATTTTTTTTTTGTTTATCTAGGAGTACATAAAGCCCCATTTTTTTCAAAAAGAACAAGAGAAAACCGAAACCGTGTTTTTTTGATATACGTGGTGAGTCTCGTTGGAATTGTAACCGTAATGATAACACTTGTAGTGATTTCGGGTTTATATTAAACACTTCCAATGAGCGTCGACATTTCTAAATAAAATTAAAAGACCAACATTTAATTTTCGCGGTATTCGTAATAAGCGTAGGGGTATGATTTTTTGATTTGTTATAGGTAGTCAAAACTGTTGAGGATTGTCGATGCTGTTTTGGGCGCGCGTACCGACGCGTACATTTTGTAAAAATATTTTTCAAATTCGATTCGATCGTGATAATTATATTATAAACTATGATGTATTATATTATGAGAATAAGTCATTTTTAAAGTTGAAAACCATGATTTTGTTTATTTTTTACGACGTAATATTAGCCATTTTAAATTTAAGCGAGTGATAAGTTTGTCAAGTGATGTTTTGGGAAGTTGTTTCAGAATAAATGTAGGTACAAAACTGTTGACCGACTTTCTTTAACCGCCAGCCGTATTAGGTTTAACTTTTATATCTATCCATTGAAAACATGTAGGTACTCGGAGTATTCAACTATGAATGCCAATTTTTCTCTAAGAAATAACGAATGGAGTTGAATTAAAATTTGCGTATTATCACATGAATTCAATTGATTCATGCGACATCTAACGAGCGGTAGCTTAAGGTCCAAAATCGAAAAAACATTCTGTATTTATGAAGTGTAAAGTTTTCTACGCATTTTCAAGGTGCACACGGACACATTGTGTACTTTGGAATTGGGTTATTACCATTTATTGACCAAAATGTAGGATTTAACGTGAATTGCAATAACTTTTTATTCACCTGGATTCCCCACTTGGAAAATATATTTATTGACTTTGCACTGACATTCGATATCAGCGCCTTGTTATCCTTTAAGTACGATAAAAAATTGTAGATCTATAAGTGGCTACAAGCACATTGGTTTAGTAAAAATTGAAGAGCATATGAATCTTTGAGTGTGCGAAATTGTCACAACATGGGGGACGAAATCGACGGGAATACTGTGCTTGCTGAGGCCCTAAAATCGCAAGTAAGTGTCACTTTAGACGACCTGTAGGTTATTAGGATATGATTTTATAAAAGTATACCAAATCTTTAGCCGTTTTGACCTTGTGCAATCGTTGATCTCTCGTGTTTGGTAAATTAAATATTGATACGCATTGGGTTTTATCCGACGGAGTTTGGACTCGAAAAAATACTGCTACAACATATTTTACATTTGTTTTTTATTGTAATTATATAGGTTCTATTAAATCAGCTGTTGCTAATATTTTCGCAGTAACCTTTAAGACAGGAGCGCTTCGTTTAGCCTTTGGTTGCTAGATGGCATCTTTTCCGGACCACAGAAGCATTTGAACACACAGTCAATATGCGTTTCATTTGAGTTTCAAAATTAAAAAAATTTTAAATATTATAGCTGTCGTACGCGTAGCCGATGTAGCATTGTATATTATAATAAAAAAAGAATAATTAATGACGCTTTTGTCAGGAACAAAAATACCAATATTATAAACATCAGTTAACATACATGTTTGAAGAACGAACAATTTTCAGGGCATCGAATTCGTTTTTGGGATTATGGGATTCCCCGTGATCGAATTGAGCATGGCTCTGCAAATGGCCGATATCCACTACATCGGTATGAGGAATGAGCAAGCTGCTTGTTACGCTGCCCAAGCAATCGGGTATCTGACAGGTAACCGCCCAGCGTGCCTAAAAATTGAATTATATTAAAAGGTTAAACTATGCAGGAGTTCCTGGAGCTGTGCTCTGTGTATCCGGTCCAGGTGTACTACATACCTTCGGTGGTATGGCTAATGCACAGGTCAATTGTTGGCCGGTACTGGTGATTGGCGGATCCGTCCCGCAAGATCACGAGGGCATCGGCGGATTTCAAGAATGTAATCAGGTGAGGCTGATTTGAACACATTTCATGGTCTAACTATTTAGCGCAGCTTTCGTTTATTATTTATTTTGTTTTTTTTCTTATCACAGTTGTTATTAACTTTTTACATATCGAATCGTGGGATAGTATTTAAGGTCATTAACTAGCTTATGCACAAAACAGATATCAGCAAAATCCATGCGACTTTTGAGACTTTTAAGTTTATAGAATACCAAATTAGAATCATTAGAAAAGTAATGTTGTGTCCTTTTTAGTGTGTTGGAGATTCCACACCAACAGAAGAAAATTTAAGATACGTTCTTACAATAGAATTATAAGGAAAAGTAATTTGTGAAGCCCTCAGTAATTCTCAGTAAAATTCCCAAATTCAGCATTGCCGTCTGTGTAAGTGTGCCAATATGCACCTCAAAACCTATTTGAGTTAAATCGATTTAATTTATAGAAATAGAAAAACCTATTCATTTCCTCCTGTATCCCATGAAATCATCAGGCGACTTAATTTTCTCTGTTATTTTGAAATCGTCGGCATAAACATTTTATTCTTAATCTTATTGAGAAATATTCAAAAAAATAAAGGTCCTCAGTCCTCAGGGAGCCTTCAGTGAGTCCGCTTGTGACAAGAGATATTTTAGATTTATATTTACTAAGGGCCACATATTGCTGCCTATTATCGACGTACACAGAACACACGCAACGCGCTTTTCAAAATACTCCAAGTTGATTAAAACCGACCGATTAAGAAAACATGTTGATTAGTATCAATTTTATTTTTTAATAGAAATTTGAAAGGGAAGGTGGTAGATCATTCTTTAAGTCAGTTCTCAGATCGGAATGTACATGAATGACTTGTTCTATTGAAAGCTGGTATTCCTTCCAGTTCAGGGTATTTGTTTGGCACCTCAATATATTGAGTCATAGAATAGAAGGACATGTCAAAAGCTTCGACGGGAAGTAAGTTAGATGCATTTTTTTTTATATTGGTCACGTGACACAAATAGACTTTTAAGTTGTGCGGACATAGTTATTTAATGATGTCATGAAGTTTTGTTATTCAAATTCGACTAACCTACCGATTAAAGAAAAACATGCTAATAGATTAGATAGATTAGTATCAATTTTATTTTTTACTTTAAAGTAATTTGAAAGGAAAGGTAGTAGATCATTCTTTAGGTCAGTTCTCAGATCGGAATGGACATGAATGACCAGTTCTATTGAAAGCTGGTATTCCTTTTAGTTCAGGGCATTTTTTTGGGATCTCGATATATTGAGTCATAGATTAGTATTTCAGTAATTTTTTTAAGTGTATCACCATGACATTGGTTACGTGACACAATAGAGTTTTAGGTTGCGAGCATAGTTATTTAATGACGTCATGAAGTTTAGTTATTCAAATGCGACTAACCGACCGATTAAAAAAAACATGCTGATTAGTATCAATCTTATTTTTTGACTTTGAAAGGAAAGGTGGGTAGATCATTCTTTAAGTCAATTCTCAGATCGGAATGTATGTACCTGACCTGTTCTATTGAAAGCTGGTATTTCTTCCCGTTTAGGGCATTTTTTGGGATCTCAATATATTGAGTTATAGATTAGTATTTTAGTATTTTTTAAGTGTATCGCCATGACATTGGTCATGTGACACAAATAGACCTTTAGGTTATGCTTACATAGTTATTTAATGATGCCATGAAGTTTCGTTATTCAAATTCATATCAAAACGAACGAAGAGTTAAAATTAAATAAATATTCAGTGCCAGTTATCACTTGTTATAGTAGTGTTAAATGTTTTCGCCTGTGCTTCAAGGTTGAACTAGCTCGACCGTACTGCAAATATTCCGCCCGACCACCAAGTGTCGCCCTGATCCCCTTACATGTCGAAAAAGCGGTGAGGCTTGCGAAAAATGGACGACCCGGCGCTACCTATTTGGATTTCCCCGGTAACATATTATCCTCGAGGGTACCGTCCAATTCAATACCCGACCAGTACGGACCAACCGAAGTACCGATTCCGTTTCCCGATCCCGAGGCCGTGCGTCAGGCAGTCGACGTTTTGGTGCAAGCGCAACGTCCTTTGGTGATCGTCGGAAAGGGTGCCGCCTACTCCAGAGCCGAAAACGAAGTGAACCAGTTCATAACCGCAACAAATTTGCCGTTTTTGGCGACACCCATGGGCAAAGGTGTCGTGTCTGATACTTCAGACAAGAGCATCGCTCCGGCCAGGTCGTTGGCTCTTCAGAAGGCAGACGTCGTCCTATTGCTGGGCGCCAGACTCAATTGGATTTTGCATTTCGGTCGTCCTCCGAGATTCGCATCTGACGTCAAGGTGATTCAGATAGACGTATCGGCTGAGGAATTGCACAACAGCGTCAAGTCGGCCGTCGCTATACAGAGCGATATAAAAACCGCTGTGGCGGAAATTCTGAAGGAGACCAAGAGGAGGAATTTCGCATTTAATGGAAGAAGCGCCTGGTGGATTTCTGTGAGAAAGAAATGCGACGAAAATAGAAAACTTGTTGAGGTACGTTGGTCGATGGCCCTTCATTGTAATGACTGTGAATATGGGTTTCCATATAGTGTTCTTGGAAGAATGGTTTTTATTTAGAAAGAAACTATCAGTTTAAAGGACTTTTAATATCACACACGAGTTGTAGACATGAAATTAATCAATAATGGATATATTTTTGAAGGATATTTAGATGTTATTCATAAGTAACGCAAATTAAATCAATTCATATTATGATATCAACATATAATCCTAAATTTTTCTGGTGCATTCTAAATGAAGAAAAACATTAGGAAAATATTTAATGGGTTTTTCAGTACAATTAAAATATTCTGTTCCGCTTATATCGAAATATGGGAAGTGATTAACAATACAAACAATTTATTTTGAAGAATATTCGTATTACAACTTGGCCACTTCTAAGCCGATTAATATTTTTGTTTTAGTAGCAGTCCTCTACAATATTTTTTTATATTTCTATACCGGGATTCTATACAAGATTTGTCGAAAATTGAAGAAAGACTTGTATTTTGATAAGATTGTCATTCTTAAGTAAATTTTCATTTGAACTAAAGTACATCAAAACAATAACGGTCACAATTTTTACAATGACAAGAAACAATGCCTCCAAAAAATGCCAAATGGCGTTACAAACGTTTTGCGAAGAATTAATCAATATATTTATTAATTTCATATTCCAAGTATCTATAGATACTTGGTATATGAAATATATGAAGTATTTGAGAAATTAAAATTAGGTTAATTTAAATATAGGTATCATAGGGGTACTAAAGACATACTTATTTTGATTGTATTATCCAAAAATGCGAAAATTGTAAAACTACCATAGTAGATCTCCCACATATATTCAATATTCAATATTCAATGTCGTAGATCGCGAATAACCCTGTATATTTTTTTAGCAAAATTTACTTGCCCTTGTCAAGAAGACTCTAAAGTGAGGAAGTGCTCCACTTCTCCTATCGAAAATTCTCCATACGGAGTGTATCTTAACATTAAAAGAAATCCCCGTATTATACCATCTATGAGCATGGAATAAGGGTACCATGCCTCTTTTCTATTATCGGAGCCAATGGTGACATTTCCTATTTTGTAACAACTTTAGTTTTCTCTATTGATGTCGACTTTATTTTATTGGCCCTTTGGCCCAAATGTTGTCGCTACTAGCAATTTATGTCTTGAAAGTGTCGATTACAGTTGATACACCCAACGCTGAGATCATTGTTTTTTAGGCGATGGCGTCTGACACGTCACCCCCATTAAATTACTACGCAGTGTTCAAGCATTTGAACGAAAAGCTGTCTGAAAACTGCATTATAGTCAGCGAAGGTGCCAACACGATGGACATCGGCAGGTCCATGCTGCTGAACAAGTTACCCAGGCATCGCTTGGACGCGGGAACCTTCGGTACCATGGGGGTGGGTTTGGGTTTTGGTATCGCCGCGGCGCTTTATTGTAGATATTACGCGCCCACCAAGAAAGTTATATGTGTGGAAGGCGATTCCGCTTTCGGGTTTTCGGGGATGGAAATTGAAACGATGGTCAGGTATAAATTACCCGTGATTATCGTTATCGTAAACAATTCGGGAATCTACACCGGCATGGAGGCGGAAGTGTTGAACAGCATGCAGGAAAGTGGGGAGATAACGAAAGTGTAAGTGGAAAATTTCAATGCGCCCATTTATAACTAAAGCCGTCATTTTCTCGATCGTATATCAGGCATACGGAGTGTTATGAAATCCAATTTAGGTTTGAATCTCGGAGTCGAGAGATAAATGACAAAAATACCCGCTATTAAAAAATCAGCTTCGTTATTACGCATCGTGGCATCGTGATCTTACTTTAATGTGTCCATATATGACAAAAAGCTATTCAAATATGGTTAAAATACCAAACCACTAAACATGCTGTACAAACGAGAGCAATTCTCTTAAGTTCATATCAAAAGAAGTTGGTTGTCAAACTTACATTTTCGTCAACAAGAATTTTAACTGAGTCCCGTCTAGAAATTGCTAAAACGTGTGTATTAATTTAAATAAAACCAAACCAAAGCAGAGGCGTCGATACATTTTAAAGTGAGGTGAATGGATAAGTAGCTGACATTGTGTTCTAAGTTTTACATTGTGTGTTTCAAAGTGAATTTAAGTACTTATACTATTTAAGGTTTCATAATAAGATACCGAATATTTATTAGGGGTTTATAAGTAACAGTTTTCATCAGTTTTATAAGCCCTTTATAAACGCTTATACAGCTTAACCCTGTTTTCCTAACTTCCTTCGCAGAATTTTAAAAGGCATATTTAGGTTGATTCTATCTAGATATTTATAAAAAAGTAAGTGCACTCCTTCCAAGAACAAATAAATAAATAACAATTGAAAAGTGAGGTTATGATTGCATAATCGACATTTGACATTTGCGCACTAATAGTCCTAAATTGGTTTTCCGGCTATTTTTAGTTTTATAGCGGTTATGAAAGTTTTTATAAATACTTAACCAAAACTATAAGTATTCCAATATCATCTTACGATCATTTCGATATAGGCCAGCTAGATAAGTTTAATAATTGTTTCCAAGGTGTTTAATATTACTTGAAAGCCCATATGAAACTATCAGTTTTTAAAAGGTAAAACTGGTTAACACGGCACCCTTTTATGTGCCTTTGTTTTATTTCCAATTGACATAAAAACTATTAAAAATGATTTTGTATTTTAATTGCAAAAAAAAAACTTTCAGATTTTTCAATTGTCATTTCAAAATGTATTGGCAATTTTAGCGTAACACAATTACAAGGACCCCAAATGAAATATATTGGAAACAGATGATATAGAAAAAGTTGAAGTGAAAAGGGGGCGTTTTTTTTTTGGTGTTTATAAACACTGTAGGTAGGTTTTATAGCTTCTAACTATCGAAAATGCACTCCTTGCCGTTATAGAACTTATTTATCACTACTTATTGGTTAGTAAAAGTTTTATATGGGTACTTTCCGTACCATTGTCATTATAAAACAATAAATAGTAGTTGGGTGTACAGTATGGTCACCAAAACACTTTTTGTTCCCTGCCCTTTGCAAAGACCTTTTAAGATTGTGCACTTTTTTGACAATTTACATTGTTAAGTATTTTCTCGAAATTTTAAAGTTGTTCTTAATATGAAGTTTATGATTGCCAAAAACAACAAAAAATCTCAGTTTTTCAAATTTGCTCGAATTTGAAAACAAGTGAAGCACTTTTTTTATTGTAGCACTCCGCCAGGTTGTTTAACAAGCTTCACCAGATATGACAACATGATGAATCTGTTTGGTCGAACCGGTTACTTTGTCCAGACGATTCCGGACCTCCAAATCGCCATAACCGAGGCTTTGAAAGTCGAAGACGGCCCTACCGTAATAAACGTTATAATTAACACCACGGCCGATAGAAAACCGCAAGATTTTAAGTGGCTCACCGAGTCGAAACTTTGATAATATATTCTTAAGAAATAAACTATACGGAGTCGGTATCTGGGTGTTTTTATTTAACCGGCCGAAGTCGTTTGCGCCCCTTCCGGGTCGTCTTTCTTCTCGTTCCACGGCTGAATTTTCGACGTGCCGAAAATAATGAAAAATATACCGCAACTGCAGTACACTATGCCGCCGATCGCGAACACCCAACCCCACGCGGTGAAATTATTCTAAAATCGATAAACAATCATTTGAAAAGAAAATGTAAGCTTAGTCGTACCCCGTAGGCGGCCGTCAGCGCACCCATTATCTGCGGTACTATAAACCCGGTAGTTCCTCCTATGAAGCTAATTATGCCGAAGATGGTTCCCGCGAAATTTGGCGAAAGATCCGTCGGATTCGACAGATTCGTCAACACCACGGCTCCGTTGATCGACATGCTGAGCACCAACAAGGCGATGGCGCCGTAGTAGTTGCACTTGACGAGTCCCATGCAAGCCATCAGTATTCCGGGAATGATGTGAGCTATGGAGGAAAGCAAATCGCATCATCTTTTATACGAGGATGTGCTGAAGTTTACAGCACGTTACGAATGATTTGAGCACTACTTCTCTGCTGAACCTCGTTCGTTTGAGGTAGTCTCCGAGTACCCCGTAGCCGAGTCCTAGAAAGAGCCGCACGAGATGCGGCAACGAGCTAACCAATCCAGAATCCTGAAAATCAAGCGTCCAGATCGACCCTCCTACGCTCAACTGAACGATGGGTGCGTTACCCTTATATTGAAACCGATGACTTCAGCGATAAACTTCGGGACTACGGCGATTTGCACGTAGAGCCCCCACAAGTTTCCAAAGTGAAGCAAGCATAGCGTCCAGAATGGAAACGACGTAAAAATTTGTTTATACGGAGGCATCGCCTGCAAAACAGTTGGAGTTATATAAGTAAAACCCGCTATCGTGGGATTACTTTTGTTTTCGTCACAGCGCCCGCTTGAGAGTCTTTAATGTACTTGAGTTCCTCGTCAGTTATCCAAGTGTGAAGTTCAGGACTGTCGGATACGAATACCCAAAACACAGCCAAGAAGATCACGATTTGAATGGACAAAACATGAAAGCCTGAAGGCAAGTAGTCTACAGTAATGGGACGACACATACCGGACTCTCAAAGTACCCCACTCCCATCCCCAAGCTTTAGTCACGCCTCCGACTATGATCCACGTAAGACAAGTGCCCAAAGTGTTACCCATTAGACCGCTTACAAATTTGCCTCGTTCTTGTGGCGGTGCCCATCGGCCTATTAGACATTGCAGGGCTGGATACACAAGACCCTATAATAAAATCACGAGGTTTTAAATTAAAGGCGTCTGCGCTCTACTCGACTCACGCCCATGAATCCTATTATAAACCTGCAGGCGAACAAGAATCCCACATGTAGGTGAGTGCCCCACACGCATAGCTCGTTCAAAACTGCCGACACTGCAGTTGCGACGAATATGGTCCAAAACGGTCCCCACCATTCGGATATTATACCAGCTGGAAGGCTTCCTGGGGTGTATCCGTAGAAATAAGCACCTAGCACGAGTCCCTGGGTATGTTGGCTCCAGTGAAATCTCACTCCAGTCTGAACAATGTTGGAATAACTCACATATACACCAGAATGTCATGTAACGGGTCTTACGTCGTCTTGAGTTTTGTTCGGGTTGAAAGTCGGGTCACCTTTCCTGCAGTGCGGCACATTGACAACTTTTCCTTTGTCTAAGAGTTTAACCATGGCGGGCAAGCTCATGGACATATTACTTCTCGTTGTGTAGTTTATGTAGGTGGTGAAAAAGATCATGACGATTATCCATATCCGAACTGGTATCGCTGAAATTTTTGAGAGCCTTGCGGTATCCACCCGGTTATTCGCCTTACCGTAGGGTTACCCATCGTTAATTAGGTGCGCAACTATTGAACTGCAATATTTCCGGTAATAATAAACACAAGCAATTATCGAAAGGGAATTTTTGACAAAAATGTCAATATTTTGTAATCATCGATTATCGCTGTCTAAGTTCCAGCATTTCTTAGGTAGCGGCAAAATATCTATTTATTCAACAAAATAAATGGCTAAACATATCTTAACTACAGCTTAGCTATGCAGTTATGCATAAGATAAATGCATTTTTGGACATTTAATGGTTATTAAAGTTCATAAAGGATTAATTTCCGTGAAGTTTAGAAATACTTTTGTTTGCTTTTGGATGCGATGGACCTACGTATATTATTAGACAGTTTGGACGAGTGCCATTTTACGGCATTTCACTACGTCTGATATAAATTTAGCCTAATATTTTGAAAACGGTAAATTACAACTTTTCTCAGAGATTTTGTGATACTTTAATCGAGGCAGCGTATGTCCAAATTAGATGGTAAGTAACCTTCCTTTATAATTTGCTTGTATACCTGAAACTACGGTACTTCAAAGCATACCCTATAAATGTTAATTTTGAACCATACACAGTTAGACAATGGACAAAATATACTAGGGACACCTTGTATACCTGAATTCTTAAAAATAAAAATATTAAATAATCCTTTCTTGAAAATCCAGATTTCGAGTCTTATTTTTTTCTGGCACAGTCCATATCCGAACCAAATACGCCCGTCCCCAATTTTTTCATTTTCTTATAGTTTTTTCTTTCTTTCGTATTACTGGCTGTTGATATTATTTACTTTTCAACGTCATCCACTGAGTTTATATTTAATGGTAAACAAATCTCCTTCAATGCCCATGCATTTAAGATTTGTTTCTTGGTTTCCTGTCAGAACTTTTGTAGTCTTTATTTTCACAATTCATTTATTTATTTGCAATCATTTTCTGTTCTGTCTCCGAATTTTAAAACAAAACAAAAATAAGACAAAAATGTTGTAGAAATTTATCAGATTTGTTGCCGTTTTGTTGCGAAACAAATGTCTTTGTTTGGTCGTTGCCTTGTTTGCTTGACCTGGACCCTGCATAAGGGTTTAAGTAGTGGTTTGCCACATAATTTTGGAAAACGAGCTATTCAAATCTATTTTATACGTAAATCTTAAAACTGAGAACACGACAAATGCAAAACAGCGGAATCAGGGTTATTAATCAAATGATAATAATTGATAATAAAATATCAATGTCTGGCTAATGAGCGCCAGACCAACATTTTCAAAATTTCACAGGAAACAATTTTCATGTTCAGTGGCGTAGTTAGATTTAAAATATAATAATACATGGAGTTTTTATGAAAAAATGGCTTACTGACAAATCCACAATGGGTGCTTTAAAGATTAACATAACCAAAAAAAAACACAAAGGTGCATTCGAATAAAATCAATCATAGTTTGGCAGAAATAAGATAAAAAATAAAATTATAGTCTTCTTTTTTCCTCTATTTTATTAATTAAAAATAAACAAAATGTAATAAAAACAACTCACAAAGAAAATAAGTACAGCTATTACAAAAAATGATTTAAAAAAATAAGAAAATATTGATAAACAACTCAGAAAAAAAGCTTCTAAGCATTCAAAGGACTCCTCTCGTCTACTTGTCTAGAAGGGCCAACTCTAGGTTCATCTGATCCGTTATCAAAAATGGCGGCGTCCTCAGAGTTTCTCCCTGATAACTCGTTCCACGGCTGAGCTTGGGAGGTTCCAAAGGCAATGAAAAACAGGCCACACAGAATATAGATACAACCAGCGATCACGCCGTTCCATTTCCAGTGATCCCTCTGTGAATTTCAAGGAAAACAGCGGCTGTGTTTATCATCTATTTTTAGTGCTATATACTCACATTGTCATGGGTAAGCGTTGAGTGCACCAGAGGTGTTAAAAATCCTGCGGTGCTGCCAAGAGAGTTCACGGCGCCAAAGAGGGGACCAGCGAAATTCGGGGAGAGATCATGGACGTTTCTGAGATTAGTTGCAACTGCGGCGCCGTTGAACGCCATACTCAGAATTAAAACGGCCAAAGTCGTAGCGTAACTACTTGCCGCGAGTATCGTAAACATTATCACTATTCCAGGTACAATGTGCGCTGAAATTCACTCCAAAATTAAGTAGTCGTGAGATTACGGAAAGCGCATACAAAACAAAATGAATAGTTTTCTGACGTGGTCTTTGGACCAAGCTCCCTTGAACTCGACTCGATCGCAGACGTGACCAAAAGCGATTCCAAAAATCATTCTAAATAAGTAAGGCGTCATGGCTAGAGCTGTGGAAGTCTGGAAAAAAATTCTGCGTTAAAATCTCGATAATTTTGAGAAATTTTTAATTTTGAACAATATGACAAAAAAGGCTTACAGCAACTGTAACTTATGAATTTTGAATTTAATTTATTGAATTGAATTTAAAGAAGAAATTACGTGAATCAGATTCTTATAGAATACATACAATTCTGGCTTGAGCTACAGTTGAAGTTTTCCACGAAATATCTACACTGATAATTCAAATAGAGAATAGAAGTACAACCAATACTGACATACACTCTTTAAATACTGAATAATCTTACTTTAATTCAATATTTTTTTACATTTTTCTGACTACTGACAAAAAGTTGTGAAACCATGCTGACATTACTACTGCTTAACAGACAGATACAATTTGACCCTTTAGCTATAATCCCTTTTTCGGCAGATTTCTTTGTGGAAGAGTGAAAAGTAGATGGACTGTTTTTTTTTCTTGAGTTGGCTAGACTTCGCTTCCTGCCATTTTGGAAACTAACGGGTGATTCAATAACAGTTTCCACATTACAATCTGAAATATTTTTGAAACGCATAAACAAAATTAGCCATAGAACAATATATGACTGAACAAGACTTGCATCTACACCCATATAAAGTCCAAATAACTCAGGAGTTGAAACCTCGAGATCATCAACAGGGCAGCGTGTTTGCAGAATAGATACGAGACCAAGGGGTTCATTTTTCAACGAAAATCATCTTTAGCGATGAGGCTCATTTTCACGTTGGTCCCTTTGTAACAAACACAATGCTCGTATTTGGGGATTAGAAAATCCAAGAGAGATTGTTGAAAAAGCAATGCATCCTCAAAAAGTGACTGTTTGGTGCGCATTTTGGTGCGAAGGAATAATTGGCCCTTTTTTTTTCGAGGATAATGCAGAGCACGATGTTACGGTTAATGGTGTTCGCTATAGAAACATGATATCTGATTTTTTCTGGGAGCAGTTGGAAGGTATGGACATTGAAGATTTGTGGTTCCAACAGGATGGAGCCACTTGTCACACATCCAGAGAAACGATGCAATTGCTGCGGGGCAAGTTTCCTGGTCGGATTATCTCACGTAATGGCCTCCGCGATCATGTGATCTTACTCCCCTAGATTTTTTTTTGAGTGTATCTAAAAAGCAGAGTGTATAGAAATAAACCAAACACTATTCCAGAGCTGAAACAGGAGATTAGACGCGAAATAGCCGGCAAAGAACCTGAATTGTGTCAAAAAGTGATAAACGTCATGCCACATGAGTTGGGGGGATCATTTGAATGACATCATCTTTCAAACCTAATTGTAATACACTAATCTAAAATGACAAATAAAAATGTTTGTATATGTTTCTATTCTTCCGAGTTTTTTTTATTATTTTAATGTGGAAACCCTTATTGAGTCACCCTTTACAAAGGCCTATGTAATGTTTTAAATAGAATATTGACAAAAACAACAGCGAATTTGTGATGCAAATAATATAGTAGTCAACAATTTTTTTCTCTCCAAATAATCGATATTAAAAATTAAAAACTAACTGTCACTTGGAAATTTTTGACATACTTTACCGAAATTTTGAGAGGAGTACTTTTACAAAACTCGGAGGAAATTTGACTTTATAGTTCCAGTAGGTATTAGTTTTATGACAGTCGAAATGTTGATAAGTCTTACCTTAAAGCCGAATCCAAAAATTCCGTGGAATATTTTCGGCATGCACGTAGCTTGGAAATATAATCCCCAGAGGTCGCCGAACTGACAAACGCACAATGCCCAAAAGGGCACGGATGTGAGTATTTTTAAATATGGAGGCACGTACTGAAACCAAAATAATGTTAATTAATCAGCACCGTTATATTACTTCAATACCTTGCCCAATGGGACGGAGATGTCTGTATTATCTTTTATCAGTTTGCGCTCGTCGTCGGAGATCCACTTGTGGTCCGAAGGACCGTCTGATGCGACGAGACCGAAAATCAGGCAAAACACGGCTATTTGAATAGAGAGAAAATGAAGGCCCCATTCGACGTCTATCGAAGTATTAACTACGTCTACTAGAGTGTAACAAACACATATCCCTAATGCGTTTCCCATGAGCGCGCTTACAAATCTGCCCTTCTCTGAATGTGGCGCCCAACGCGATATCAGACATTGTAGCGACGGATATATGCTCCCCTAAAATTAATACAAAATAAAATATTTTTGTTGCACCACCAGATATTAACAGGAAAAAAAGGGTCTCTACGTCAGTCACAAACACCAGTAACATCATTTTTCATTTAAACTCCTCAGTGGTACTTATCGGCACCAGATACTACCAAAGAAACTGGGATTGGGATATACGACCTGTGGTCTTTATAATATGTAATGTCCATTCGTGTCTTTGCCATTGTTAGAGCAAACTGCGACGGCAGATCGTAAATACTAGTCGGATTTGTTTTGAGAAAATCAGCCATCCTACTAGCCTCGAAAAGCTGGAAAACTGCATGAAAATTAGGAATTTTTATTCCTTTTATTTTTACTAAGTCCCGTTCTCTGCCAATTCGCTTGCTTATCAAATGTTGCTCGAAGAGATATTTTTGGTTTGGTTTTATATAGTACTTTTTCTAAAAAAACAGGGACGCCAAAAAAAGGAGGGGATCATTGGTCTGAATATTTATGATTTCACCAAAATCTCGAAATCTATTTCACTTTTATTAATTTAATTAATTAATCACGTAAGTCTGTTTCAAATGTTATTTTATCTCTCACCATTTAGAAACCCTCTTAACGGAGAGTCATAAATTGCCTAGAAAGAGTGGGGAGCTAAGTAGGTTATATTCTGAGCGCAGGCTCTAAGTGACCGTTCTTCTCCTGTTGATATTCTTTGATTGAACCGAAAGTTGGAGGAATACTTACAGATAATAGTCCCAATATAAAACGGCACAAAATCAAAGGCACGAAGTGCCAAGGCGCTGCCCTGATACAGAGCGAGTTGAAGAAAGCCGATAGGATCAGAGCGTACAATACAGTGTAGTACGGACCGAACCACTCCGCTATAAAGCCGCTGGGGGCGCTGGACACCACGTACCCCCAAAAGTAAGAATCCAGAATAAGATTCTGGATATCCGTAGTCCAGTTTTGTCGAGGAAATTCCTAATAAATGGACAAACGATTTGTTGACTATAATTTTTGGGGTCCATTTAGAGTTAGATATACGGCACGCCATTGACTTCTAAAAATTATTCTACGTCTCGTAGGTGGCGTTAGCAATTTGGCATGTGATGACATATTTTGTTTACGAGATTTATCAGAAATGTCTCCAATCGAAAAGACCAACATTTATTTTGCCTTTGTCGTAAAGTTTAATTACCCTTATGTGATTCGGATAGCCCTGTAAAGGCTAAAACTAAAATAGTCTAGCCTGAAATAATACCAGGAACTAATTTAACTAGTGAAAAGGCTAGATCATTCTTTTCACCTAGTTATCTTAAAATACGCTAAACTCGGTTGATAGCTTTTTATTGGAAAAATAACAAAAATCAATTAATATAAACTTATAGAAATGTGTTGGTTTAAGGGAAAGCCAGATTTCATCTAATTTTTAATTAAAATATAAAAAAAAATGTTTACATAGAATTTTAATACATATATATGTATATAATATAGAAAAATACTTTTTTTTCAGAGAGTTCTGAATTGCGTGTATTAATTAGTAATTTTTCTTTATGAGATTGTTTTTTTCTGAGTTTGAGATATGAAAGTAAAAAAGCTTTTTATATAGGAAATTTTTCCTCACTTGCTTTTGGTATCTTACATCTGTTGTGGAATTCGTGGTATTGTTTAGTCCGTCAACAGACAGCGCGTCATAGGTACTGTTATCCTCTTCAAAATTGTTCGCCATGTGCCTAATACTGACCGCCATATTAAATCTAATAGTGTTACTGACGTATGAAGTAGCAAAGATTGTTACAGCTATCCAGAACCTGACCGGTACATCTCTTATACCTTAAAAAGGAAACCACAATTTCTTGTCAGAGAATTTTTTGGGGTGTTTGATCAAAGAAAAACATTTTTAGCATGTGACCTCGAAAATCAGAAACCGCTTCGTTAAGAAGAAGAATAATTATAATAGAATTTTTGTTTCAAATTCGTGATAAATTTTATTTTATCATTAATTCCTGATTGTATTTATAAATTAAAGCTAAACAAAAATATATCGAAGAAAAGCGAATTAAGCCTTTGCTTAAAAAAATAAGTTCAACTTTTACGTTACGTTACGTTATAAGTACCGAAAATTAATTTTCGCAACAAATTTAAACCAATAAAAAATCATAGGCATTTTTTTGTTTTGTTTTAGATTATTGTTTTCACATCCTTCCTTCTCTTCTCTCTGTGAAGTTTAAATAATAAGGAAAACATGTTAGTTTAAAAGCCGATAGCTTAATAGGTTTGCCTTCGGTCGATTCTAGGTACGACTCTGACAATTGGCATTCCGTTCATCAATTTGTTTGCCATCAAAACAATTTCACAATTGTTCGCTCGCAATTGACTTCGATTTGATCGTGCGCAGGCTCAAGCAAGCCCGAGTTTTTATCACCGGGATGTGATTGATAGTGGGCATTACCGCGAAAACCCGGTACGAAACCCGCAATGACATTCTATACTTACAATTTTAAAAGCTATCGTTATTTACCGACGTTCTATTTATAAGACCGCAACAGCTATTACGAATTTTATCTTAAATTACTGTAAAAATGCCACGGATATAATAATATGTTCTTCTTTTCAATGTACTCACCCATTATCCCGGCAGTGTTATAACCCCGTTGGTGGATTTCAATACTTATTCACGTATTTTGTAACATCCACATACCGCGGTAATTTTAGCAGCGTCGCTAATCTCGGCGATACGTTTTTGTAAACTGGCAGAATTGGGTTTCACCGCAAAGTATTAGCAATTGTTTGCGCGGCACCGAGACGATAGAGCTGCGTGGGAATCTTAAACGTTTTTTTTAACGGAGCTTTTTGCGTTACGGTCGTAGTAGTTCTTCGAGCGTAGCTCGACGCAAAACTATGACTTATTTTTTCGTCCCTGACGCTTCCGACGCCCGTTCTAGTTTCGAAGACGCAGCTGCGTTCCGTTTGACCCCAATAGAATATAAAATAGCACAAGTTTCGCGTGCCTTCGTCGTCATCAATCGATGACGTGCTGATTCGCGCCGAAATTGGACGATGGCTTCAACAATAGCTGATAACTGGGTCGCTCTTTGTAATTAACGTCGCGGTATAAAATTACTTTCGATTGAAAAATGTAACGGGTCAAGCATAGACAGGTACAACGATACACCGGGTGTGAACGAAAAGTTTTTACGAGCCGTATATTGTGCGGGGCTGCCCAATTACAGGATAGCGCATATTAAACATAAGATTACACATGGTCAGGAATACAAAAGAAACTTAATTAGATATTTCCTAAGCTAATAGACAATAATTAAAAGAATGTTACAAAATTTTGTATACGTTTCTTTTAAACAGATGTAGATTAAGTAAAAAAGTAACCGTTTTTGACATTTTTAATTTTTTATGCGGAAAATGACGTTTGCAAGGCATAAAATATCTACGAATTCCTTCATTCCGAAGCTATTGTTTCACTTGAGTAAGTTTTATTGTAGACAAAGGACTCGAATAACGGATTCCATAAGAAATTTCGACACTACAGGGTACGCGAAAAATAAGATTAAAAATTAAATTCAATAATATTAGCACTAAAAATTAAGGCAATTTTATAAAAGGTTGTATATTCTTAACATTTGTCTATCACAAATAATATGCTGTTGCCCTATAAGTTCAATTAGTGTGAGGTGGTTATGAAGAATGTTTTGTTGTTGATTACTGTCATAATTCAAAAATTTTTTGGCATATTATTAATTCATTTATATATCGTTTATAAATTTAATGTATTCGGAAAAAACTGATATGCTAGAAAGTTATATATCGAACAATAAAAACGGATTATATAAAAAAATAGACGTCGTCATATTGTGAATGATGAAGAGCAACATAATATTTTGTTGCATTTTGCAGAGACCCCTGAAGATTCAACCCGAAATGCGTCCTTGTGACAGAAATCAGAGGGGAGAATGGTAGGCCTCCAAGGAGCCCCGACTTAACTCCCCTAGATTTTTTGTATTTCTTAAAGATTTAGATTTTAGTTTCCTGCCGAGGAACGTAAAAGCCGGATATTTAAATGGAACTGAATCTGTTAGAAATGCCACTATGTATTTAGAAACTCTTTATACTACTTGTATTGGTAAAAGTGGAGAACACATTGAACAATCGTTACAATAATTATTATGCTTTGTAAGCTATTAATTTTTTATTGATCCTTCACCAAAGTTATCGCTTATCCTTGGTCTTATCCTGTATAAAATAATACATATATACTTTTTGCTGAAATTGCTGACGTTTCGCCAATCATCCTGTTGGCTTCTTCAGAGCTTCACTGAAACTGGCTCGTATTTTACTCTATACCTGCTTATATATTGTATGAGGGGGTCCCTAATGAGGGGATAAACATCGTCTCGGATGATTGATTCCCAAATTGGTGACAGGTAGAGACCTGAGTCGCGGTTCAGACCTAACCTGTGTTTACAGAAAACCTACGCACACATGCATGGTCACATCACGTCATGGTCAGGTACGGAACGTTTCTTGTAAAATTCATATTGATTCGCGTTGAAAAATAATTAGGTATAAATAACTTGCGCAAAATAACATAGAAGCGAGCCTATTCGCGAGCGAGCTACTGTGGCATTCCCAGACGTCAGAATTGGTACCATTTGTGCAACTTTCCAACATTTTGGAAATATACGCTGTGCTAAACATTTATTAAAAATAATATTAAGAGGGAGTGCCAAAGTAAGCAGTATCTTACGGCGACGGTCCTATGTGAGTAATTAGATGAAATGTAGGACTAAGTATTATTCGACCCAAACACGCTACTAAAGTAATTAGAAAAAAGTTGTAATATACCTTGCGAATCTGACGCAGTTACATCTTTGTAGCTTATTTTAGACAGTAATGATTTTGTATTCTTTCTGTTATTTATATGTGACCAATACATTTTTGTATCTTTTCTTATATTATTTTCAGTTTTTAGTAAATAATCCTTAAATTCGTTTTCTTTACTAATTATAAAATATTTTCGTAATAGATAGATTATAGATTATAGTCATTCGCGTTTCTAGATTTGTTCCTAATTTTCCTAACGTTCTATTGGTCATGCAGCAATTTTTTGGTGCGTTGAGTGAGCCAACTCAGTTATTATTTTACTAGGTATGTGTTCTTGGATAATGTCCGAGAAAATTGTTTGTTAATATAACTGTTGCAAGGAAGTTTCTTGTACACTTTAAAATTGCTAGTTATCTCAAGTGCAGGATGGTGGATGTCTTCCTGTATAAATGAACCAAATTTAAAATTCTATTATTGTGATTCCGGATGTTGTTAAACTGCTTAAGATCTAGCAAGAAAGTTCTAAAATTGAAGTTCTAAATAATTTTTTAACGTTAAAAATATTACTTAGTATTAAGATGATTATATATTTTAATAATATTGATTAATAATATAAGTTTTGAATTTCCCCAACCAAATATTTTTTAATTTATCAGATGCGCTTTGCTATAAAAATAAATAAAAAATTAAGAAGTTTTGATACTGACCTACACTCGGTCTATATATCTATATATCATTGAATAATATTTAGTGTTTTAAAAGCTCCAATTATTATTATTTATTTACTTTATTCTATTCATTTGTGAATTTTGGTAAACTGGTTCTTAATTAATTTTAGTGTGATATTCCATGTATTAGTGAATAGCCCATTTTTACAGCAAATTACATAATCATAAGGTGCTCGGGAGAATATCCGCGATCTAGTTAGAACACGGAAAAAGAACATATGGCAAGTATCTATTTTTCTTTCTGCTGAGAAAGGGACGCAAATTGTTTTGAATTTACTTTATCTAACAATATTCTCTGGATCAAATTTCAAAATTAATGATTTTTTTTTCAATAATTCATTGAAAGTGAAACATTAAATCGTTTTTTTTTTATCAAAAATAGTTCATTTTATCGATATTAAGTAAGTATACATTTTTTCATTAAACCCTCGAGCTTTCTAAAAATATTTTTTTAAAGTCTTTATCATACAGGGCGTCATGCCTTTAGGTGTACAACAGTGATGCAACTTATTCCATTATGTTTCAAGAATACTATTTTGTTTTGTTATTAGTTCCCTATTCCTTAAATAATCTAAAAGTTGTTCGTGGAGGAGGTAATAAAAATACTTTTCTCAAATTATAATAAAATTACTCAATAAATAATTGAACAACTTTTAAAAATTTAAAATAAAGCAGTCATCTATACAAAACAAACTAAACCAAAACGGTACTATGGGGGACATAAATAGAATTTTTTGAAAATATTTTTATTGTCTTATATTTATAAACAGTCTTAGCCAGATGCTACGACCAAAGCTTGGTCTTGTGTTGTACATTTAAACTTATGTTAAGCGGTCAATCACAAAAATTTAGCGATTTAAATGCACGTTGTCACTGGTCTCTTTTTGGTCTTTGGGGTGCATATCTTTCAGCGCTACCATTTCTTCGTCCATTTTCTCGTCGCCTTTCTTTTCGTTCCAGGGTTGAATATCGGAAGTTCCGAATAGTATAAAGAATAGGCCGCATGCTACGTACACACTTCCGCCGATGATGAAGTTTTGAGACCATTCGTGTATGCCATTCTTGAAAAGATATTCTTCTTGAACATGATTTTACCCGAGACGGCGACTAACTTACATTATCCTTCATAAGGGCTCCGGTAACGGCGGGAGTTATGAACCCAGTGGTACCTCCAATCAAGCTTATGATTCCAAACAATGTACCAGCGAAATTAGGAGACAAGTCTTGAGCGTTTTGCAGATTCGTAACTACTGCGGCTCCGTTTATCGACATGCTCAGTATCAGGATCAACACGGCGCCTACGTGATTACACTTGACCAGAGTCATACACATCAGAAGTATCCCAGGAATGATGTGAGCTGGAACAAAAACCACTTATTCGCTGGAAGCGACAGAAGGGCGGTACTTACAAAAGAGTATAAAAGATTTTCGAGTTAGTGTCGTGCTCATCAACTTCTTGGACTTGATCAGATCACTAACGTATCCGTAACCTATACCCATGAAGAGTCTGAGAAGGTGAGGTAGCGAAGCTAGTCCACCAGATGCCTGGATAAAATGTCACACTTACATAAATATATATCTTATTCCTTTAAAACTTCAAAACTAATCATTTTCCATGAACCTAAGAAAATAATTTGCTATTGATCATTGAGGAAGTATTTCTTAGCAGTCCACTCCAATATATAAAATTTTTATATAAAATGCTGTAAAATATAATGATTTGTTTTGGAAATTGAAAATATATTGAATGGAACGTAAAAAGGAGGTCATTATAAATTAACCTAGGTATTAAAAAACTCACCCTGATATTGAACCCAACAACCTCGACCATGAATTTCGGCACTCCCGTTATTTGCAGATACAGCCCCCATAGATTACCAAAATGGCAGACACATAGAGCCCAGAACGGCAGCGAGGTGAATATTTTCAGGTATGGAGGCACAGCCTGTAGTAGTGCAAGCTGTTTTAAGTACTCAAACGTCAAGATACAAACGTGTTACTTTTTCTTTCGAGACTGTTTTCGCCTGCGACGATTTGATGAACTGTTTTTCCTCCTCGCTTATCCATCTGTGGTCGTCCGGACTGTCTGCGGCGACGAGCCAGAACACGGCACAGAAAACTCCGATCTGAACGGTCAAAAAATGGAATCCCCAGTCCCATCCGGCAGCAGCCGTAATTGCTCCCACCAGAGTCCACGAAAGGCAGGTGCCCAAGGTGTTTCCCATCAAGGCGCTAACGAACTTGCCTCGTTCGGCTGGAGGGGCCCATCGGGAGATCAAACAATGACACGCGGGGTAGACTGCACCCTAAAGAAACACGAACAAATCTAAAAGCTGTTTAGTTAGTTGTGGAAGCACATAAAACTAAATTCCTGAACGATGAAAGGGCTAGTTGTACTTCCTAGGGAGAACAGGGTCCTTCAAGTTAGTTTTTAGTTACTTACGGCCATCAATCCCACCATAAATCTACAGAAGATCAACGCACCAAAGTTCCACTGGGCTGCCCAAACGCACAACGAATTGAATATAGCTGTGATGAGTTGAGAGTATAGGATCGTATTGAAGGGACCCAACCATTCGGCAATGAAACCTCCCGGTGCGCTGGAGATTACGTATCCCCAAAAATAGGAACCCAGAATGAATCCCTGGATATGTTCGTCCCAATCGTATCGTGGTCCATACTGTTATGCATCCAATACATTATTAAACTAAAGCTAATAATAATAAATTAGTATAATGAACATACATTTGCTAGTTGCTTAAAGGTCTGGTTTTTTCCTGCATCCAATGTACCGTTGCGCTTGCATTCGGGAATAGGGTTCGATTTGGACCGGGCCACCATCGATGTGATGCTGATGGACATGTTGCTCCTTGTGGTGTAGGTGATGTAGGCTGATGCGAATACCATCACCGCGATCCAGAATCGTATTGGAATCTTCGGTAACCCTTTGAAACAATGGGTGGAAGGAATATCTAATTGTAACTTCTATCTATCTATACCAGTTTTGTAATCGGATGGCCTTTATCTTGTATTCTTCATAAGTTGAACAATTAAAGGTAACATCACATACTTTTTATAAACCTTCTGGATTGCTCCTGAGTCGCTTTTGGCTGAGTCGAAATTGCTGACGTTTCGCCAATCATCCTCTTGGCTTCTTCAGAGCTTGACTGAAACGGGCTCGCATTTTACTCTGTACTGCTTATGTGTTGTATGATGGGGGCGGAGCTAAATGAGGGGCATAACCACCGTCTCGGATGACTGATTCTCATATTGGTGACGATAGAGACCTGAGTCGCGGTTAAGATCGTGATTGTGTTCGGTAACAGCTGATGAGTTTATTTGTCTTAGTCATAAGGCTCTTTCGTTTTCTTTGAGCCTAGTTGATATTTTTCGTCCGATTTCTCCAATGCATTTTTTGCCGCATATGTATGGAATGCTGTAAACTCCTGGCATCTCAAATACAATTTTACCTTTGACGGACCGAAGATGTTGAGAGATTTTTGGACAAGTGGTAAATCTGGTTTTGACGTTATACTTCTTTAGAACTTTTGATATGTGGTCAGTGATATTTTGAATGTAAGGAAGGACCACAGTGGCAAGTGGAGGATTGTTTATGCTCCTCGTTTAGCTCCACCCCCCTCGAAAAATATATAACCAGGTACAGAGTAAAATGCGAGCCAGTTTCATTCAAGCTCTGAAGAAGCCAACAGTCGAAACGTCAGCAAGTTCGACTGAGCAAAAACCGACCCAGGAGGAATCCAAAAGTTTTGTAAAAAGTATTAAAGTAGCCTGTAGACGTTTCTTTGAAAAATTAAAGGTAATATCAATCGACCAGAAATACACAAGGGCAAGTAGGTAAGTATGCAGTACATATAGTACATAGTACGTGTTTTGCGATGTTCACCTACATAGTTGTTGGTAATTTTGTGATTTGAATTTTTAATGAAAAAAGCTATTGTAAAAGTTATTTTCTTGCTCAATGAGTGGACAGATAAGTGGATGCTCATTCATAATTTCTACGGGCGAAGAGCATAAACTTCATTTAGGTGCGTTATCTGCTGGATTTTCGAACGGAACGACTTATCTGATCTCGTATGATTTCATCCTTGATGATGATGGGAATTCGGAAAATATTGTATATTATTTTTTAATTAATTGTGGGTCATGGGATTAGGCAGTAATATATATGTAATAAATATTTTTTAATGCAGGTTGGATTTTATCCGCCAAGATAAAATTTAGAAGAATAAGAAATGCGCCTTGTGAACGGCAAAATGAACATCTGGTCGTACCATCAATGACATATTTACTGTTATTGACCTCGGACACTTATTTATTTATCTTTTGGAATCTCGTAAATGCATAGTATTTGATCAAGTTAAGATAGGGTTGTTTCGCTTAGTTAATTAAGTGGTCGACAATATGATGGCCAAGGCATTAATTAGAAAAGACACTTGTTTGTCCCTTAACTTGTAACCTGTAGCATCGCTATGGTACAGGGTGTGGTTGCGGTTAATTAAAATAAAAATGAAAAATGGAATTAATTATATCTACTAGATTTTGTATCGATGTCGTTCCACTTTAACTTGATTATCAACGCAAATTGCAACATATCCAGTACAAATACCACACACGGAGATTAGAATTATAGTGTTGATCTTACGGTTCGTAAGCACGAGTCGTCAAATAAGCAAATATTGCGCAAAACCTAAGCAAAGATAAGTCTTTAAATCGCACTTATAGAAAAATCAATCCTGGAGGAGTCAAATAAAGAAAAACATTCCTTAAAAATTCCAAGCTATCCGCGATCTCTGTTCCATAAAAGTTTCGAATAAAATTTTCTACTAACGATTCAACAACGATATTTTACTTTAAGTTTCCTGACATTCGCAGGTTCTCCAACCAAATTTAGAGTTACTGATTTGAAATATGTATATTTATAAACAAAAAATGTTTGCTCTGTCTTTTGGTTTCGGATTAAGGGCGTGGGATAAAGGTAGAGGAGTCTGGGGCGTCGGTGACATTGACAAGCATTGACCTTGAGTTGATTGACCTTTACTATTAAGAATAATTGAAGGCAGCTCGCGAGGAAGTAAATTTAATTAGAAATTCAATACCTACATGTGATGACGTATGTTGACGACCTCAAGGCGTTGATATGCGTTTGAATCGGACTGTTTTTACCCGATGCAATTGCATGGCGACTATGCAAGGTCGGATATTTACGTACCCATTTTTCCTTTAGTAGACGTCTATCCTACGGGGTCTGAAATCTCTTCGGGGGAATTCTATTCAGTATAAACTCCACTTTGGGTCACATGCCAAAACGAAAACCGGCAATTTTCAAATAATCGCGCGAATTCACAAACTCGGACTATCGCAAAATCGGCTCCGAATTTAGCACTACATTCCAGAAATATAATACGAAAATAAATATTATCGCTTCAAATTTGGCATTGATCGGTGTTCCTTGTCCTGCACATCGAATGCGTCAACGTTAACACGCGTATCGCTAATAATAACAATAAACAAATTTCCGTTTAAGGTCACATCGAAACGCGTCCATTAATTAAATATGCACGTGTTAAATATAGACACAGTTTTCACTGTCGTGTGTTAGCTCTGATCGATCGAAGTCTGTGACTACCTACGAAGCGGCTTTTCTATACGGCACCAACTTCTGCCTGACTGGTTGGTTTAAAAGGAAACGCAGCTGGCGTCGCTCGTATTATAGGGGACTCCGTTTTATACAGGATGTTTCGACCAACACCACGATAACGCGCGCACATGACGCGGTTAATTCGTTATTTGTTGAAATTTATTACGAGATTAGTATTTGATCTCCTCGTTTGCGGATCATTGACTACGAACTCTTTATCTACGACGGTGAATTTCAAACCGAAATTTCATACGCTTTGTTTACTTTTTAAATGTGATAGTATTGATAGTAATATACGAGCCCTAACAACTCTTCGTTATGTACGTTGGAACAACATTTTTTATATATTTTGTGTTGATTACTATTTAATTAATGCCGACAAATTAATTTTGGAATAAAAGAGATTTTTAACAAATTAAAGTAAAAACTAAATAGCTGTACGGCCGCCCTTGACTCGGATAACAGTCTGAACTCTTTAAGGTATTGTACTAACTAGGCCTTTCCAGAATGCCGGGGTGCAGCTGGGGTGAAACTATTCCATATTTCTTGCAATTAACGCGTAGTTGTGAGGGTGTTTTTTGAGACATTATGCCAAAGTGTCTCTATTGAATTATGATCCGGACTGCCAGAGGGGTGTGTCAACACTTTCCATTGTATCGATTTTTGGTAGACTTAGCAGTACAGCGCGTGGTGTCGTCCTGTTAATAAAATCTTAGGATCGATATAATTTTACTGGATTTGGTACAATGGTACAATCAAGAAATAATAATAAAAGAAAAAACGTGGTGATTTTCAATTTCTTCCTATAGACAATAGTAGAGAGGACCTAATAAAAACGGAAATATATTGTCGAACCAATATAATGCCACCCTCCATAGTTAGTTGTGGTTCTTAATGTTCTATCCTATAATAACCACAGGTTCAAAGTTTTATTGGCATCGACTTTCAACACGGTGTAGTCGGACACAAACTATACTTTTTAAAGAAGTTTTTGGCAATATGAGAGCTTTAACCAAGTTATCGTTGCATAGGTATAAGGAACAATGAAAGAACAAATATACTAACCACAAATGTTTATTAGGTGCGCGAATAGAAAAATTATAGATTTGCAATAATGCTGAGGTGACAGTAATTTTAAAAACTCACAATAAGCTTAAGTTTAAATCACCACCAAAAGCAATTAGAAAATTGTTTTTTGTTATTGAGAATGGATATTTTATATACAAGTTTAAATTAAAACTTTAGATTCGTTTCAATTGTTAATGCATGATGTGTTTATTGCTTAAACTACTAAGCAGCACTATTTGTCTAATCTATAAGCGACTTCTTTACCCTTACCCGAAAATTCGGGTCGTCGAACTTGGTAGGTAGTCAAAAGTAGCGACCCTTTTATTTGAAAAATGTTGTATAAGGGCTGCGTTTTTAAAGAACCAAGTAAGTATGGTAACCTTACTGTTTAAGAAATAAATATAGGGATAATAGAGATAATAAAACAATTAAAAAATGATCGACTGAACTAACGGAAAGAATTCGATTAATATGACTTGAATATTATTATCGAACCAAAATATAAACAAAAGTATAAAGCCTATTTCAATGCACCTTTGCGTGATATTTAAGGTAAGTACTATAGGAGATTTTTAGATATATTTGTTTGAAGACATATAAATAATAAATAACAAGATATTAATGATTTTATCATTAATTATGTTGATAGCTGGGGTAGATATCGAGTAGACGAGTCAAAATAATTATTTCTCAATATTTGCGTGATCAGTCAGATATGTGAAAACATCTTTCTGCGTATCTCATTAAATAAAATAAAGTTAAATGTGGCCCACTTCCTTTTTTAGTTTAATTATCTCGCAACAAAATTTTAACTACTTTACTGACCTTTGGCCGGTCCATTTGTTATGCGTATCTTGGATATTGTATATCCAGGGCGATCGAGAGCCCGGCATTAACCGATCAATACAATCAATTGATAGTTTTGTTTGTTGATTTGCTATATGTATTTCATTTCGTTCCAGTGAACGACATGTTTAGTTTTGATAAGGGTTTAGCTCCCTTGTTCCCGATTAACATTCCCGAAAAGTGTTGTTTTATGTAATCATAATTCTAATTACTTGCTTAACGAACTGTTGCCATGACGGTGTAGGTTCTAGTTTAGTATGTTCATCGATATTATTAATTTTCTGTTTTGTAGGTAGGCAATTAATTTTAACTAGTAATTGAGTTCAATATAGTGGGTGTCTTGTTGGGTCTTTTTGTTATTATTTCTTTGAAGGTTGTATAGAGCTAGTATATCTATCTTTCTATAATATCTCTTTTTATTTTGGAAACTAATACTACTCTATATATAGACAGGGACGGGGTAATTGAAGGGTATGGGGTAAAATAATACACAAGATATTAGAGATATTTATATAAACATAAACATGTCAACGAGCCAGCAGAGATATAAAACAAAGAACCCTTAAAAACTAATTTTTGTACATATTCCAACAGTTAAGTGAAACACGTGTACTTTCTATTTACTGGTATTAAAATCGAAGATCATTGATTTAGTGAGAGGGTGAAATTGCGACGTCATCTTTTAAAGAGTGTTTGCTTTTCAAGTAGCTCCAGAAAAAATATTTTTTAAAGGCATAGACTCTTTAATATGCAATCACTATTATTTAAATTAACATATTGCATTAATATTATATATCGCAGCTGCAGCTGTAGCTTTGTTTATTGGTTTGCATTGGATTCCGTTACAAAACACCAAATAATTCATGTAGACCGAATATGACAGAGTCTCGCACTTGACTCAAAAGGGTCAAATTAGGACTGAAAAAATCTGAGTAATAGTGACCAAGATTATAAGTCAACTCATAGCTCATACACAGGACGTGCTCAGTAACATGAAACATCACACTGTTTTACAGTCTCAAGTTGTACAGTGCCCTATAAGATATGGAATCCTAAATAATTTAAACGTAAAGCTAATTAAAATGGGAAATTCATTATTCAGCTAGCAGTTTCTCAGGTCATGAACAGTATTTTCAATAATTCAATATCTGGTGATTAAATTAAATAACAAATTTGATGTTTAGGTTTTTAAGGAACATGGCGTCTTTGACGCACAGGGTTGGTTGGTAAATTGAAAACTACGTGGTATAGTCCGACACGCGATAAATGGCCATGACTGTAATAATTTTATTAACTTTTTATCTGTTCGTACAAATTTTTGTACCAATAAAACAAACCGGTCCAGGGTAGTAGTAAGGAAATTCAAACAAAAAATAGATGAATACATTCTGTTGTTTTGTATAATTGCAATTATATAAATAATAGATACATGTTAAATAAAATTAGTATTCAGATTAGTTTTAACCTGTGCTAATATCTAAAGCAAAGCGTAAATGATTTTGAAATTTCCAAAGAGTCGACACTACTAAAATAATAATATCTCCTGTACTGAAAAATGCTTGTTAATTGGCTCATTGATTTATTGTCAGGTTTATTGAAGGTAAAAAGTCTTCCGTTTTTGATAGGCCAGGCAGGTCGTGACCATTTATCGTGTGCTGAACTGTACTATCTGCACTTGATATAAAAAAATTTGTAATTAAATCAATGCTAAACAATGAAAGTGGTTTTAAGCATTTGGTTGTTCTATCGTCCTTTTGCATATCTAAAATAGACTGTAGATAAAGTCTGTTAATAGATATAAGAAAGTGACTAACTGATACGAATTAAGGAAAGACCCGGGCAAGCTGTAAGAATGAAATATGGCCAAATAGGTCCGTACTTTGCTTAGAATTTAATTATTTGGGGTTTTGTTGGGAAAGATACCAGACAATATTTATTTATTTATGAATTTATGTTTAAAACTAAAATAAAATAACAAATTATTTTTATTACCTACTTAAATTACTTAAAATTATTCACATAATATATCAGCATCACTATCGCTATCATCGCCTGTTCTAATTATTATTTGTTCTATATTATTTGCAATATGGATATACGATTGTTCTGCTTTTTCTATATGTTTAACAGAATTTGCCCAACTTGGTGGAGAGATGTTAAAAACTTCGGTTTCTATAAGTTTGAGGACATTGGAGTTAACACGGGGAAAAACATTGTTACAACGAATGGCAGATTTCAGTTGGTGCCAAACATGTTCAATGGGATTAAAGATACAGTGGTAAGGTGGAACCCGTAAAACTGTATGCCCCAGATTTTTTGCATAATTATCAGAGACGTATTCCTTTTGTAGGTTAAAGCTTTGTAGAACCTCAATTAATTGCTTTTTGGTATAATCTTCGTGAAAATAAATGTCGTTATTATACGTGTAGTTTTGGATTGTTGCTTTTGTGTCACATGAGGAAGGGGTTTTAGTCAACTGTCTACTGTGATAACTTGCATTGTTCATTACAATGACGCTATTAGGAGGAATGTTTGGAACTAGTTTGTTTTTATATCAAATAAATCAGCATTGGTTTCTTCATGGCAATCCAGAGAAGAATCTTTATTATTTTTCGCAGACAGAGAATATCCATTTGGAATCCAACCATTTTTAGAGCCAGCATGCAAAGTAGTTTTGGTTAGTTATTCTTGTACCTCTTTTTGATGGCGCGTTTGTTTTGTTTTGTTTTGTAAAAGATTCCATTAAAACTTGCCTTTTGTGAAATTTTTTAAATCTAAAATCCATGTGTTGAATACACTTCCATAAGGAAGTTCTGCCACATTTAACACCGGTTTCATCTTTTTCAAACCTTCTAATTTAAGATATCTGTAGGCACGCTTTGTTGCTCGTGTAACTGGTAAATTTTACGCCGTATTATATCTTGGTCACTTTCATCTACACTCGAGAAAATGTCAGCATCTCTTTTTTTCCTCGCTGAAATGGGATTATTCACAATTTTCCATACAGTTGATTTTGGAATTTTCGTCAATGTGGCCGTTTCTTCTAAAGATTCTTGTTTGCTGGCAGCACGTCCAATGAGAGTCAAAGTTTATAACTTCCTTAGTCTCAATAGAATAGTGTTTTCTACATTTAGGCGGGAGCATCTCCTGAGATACACTAGACTCGCACATATTTTGCATAATTCGCACACGATTCAACACACGCTGTATTACACACGAAATAAAAATGATTACTAATAAATTTAAACTAACCAAACCAAAGAATATTAAACACAGGTTGGTATAAAATTATTTTCTATTACGGACCACAATTTTACCTGAATTTGAATTCCGAAACTTTAGGTAATAATCTTGTTGCATTGCATGTTAATGACCACCCTTGAATATGGTTAGTAACCACATAGTTTAATTAATTATTAATCTGAGAATAAACACAAGTTGTATAAAGTTAGGTATCCCGCTAACACTTTACTAAATAAAGACGATTTATTATTATTGTGATAGGTTTAAACTGAATGTCAGTTTCTGGGTTCAATTTTCATAAAGTGTTTAATTTGACCCTCCTTGTACACAACGCCCGTCATTTTTTGGAAACTTGGGGGAGCAAACGGGGATTAAAAAAGCAAAAAACCAAACTTAGTAATTTAACGTAAATTTTATTAAATTATCCTTGTTAAATAATTACATCGTTTTGAAAACGGCCTATTTACAGCAACGAGAAGAATTGAGCACAACATGAATTAGCATTTACGCGATGCGTGGCCTGTTAACTAATCCTTCCATTGTATTAGTCTTATTAAAACCTACTGCTAAACATACAGTACCGTTGACTTACTATCGCGAACGGTACCAGTATGTTCGAAAAAAAAACTCAAACTAAATGAATGTTTAACTTAAACTGGCAAGTATTCACATTAACAACAAAGGCGACCCTTTAAAAAAAATATAAAAATGGCGACGAGGACGACGACGATGATGGCACGTGATACGATACAATTAATCCACTCGAGGGTGTGTGTGTCTCGCGACTAATTTAATCAGACTTGGCGGTATCAGCACGACGGTCTCCTCATTTCCTGTAATTTTTCACTTCTATAACGATAGGTTTCGAATTAGAAGTACCGCCATCTCTAAATCGTCTCTCCGTTTCGTAATACTTCACCGACGGATCTGTTCGGTTGCCCCTGTAGTGACTTTTCGTGATCGATTTGGTCTCGCTCGATTCGATCGTCTCGACCGATCTCCCGTCTTTGCTCGGTATCGTTTTCTTGCTGACCGTTTTCACAGTGTTGGTGACGCTCGGTCTGACCGGGTCGTCGTTTCGGGTCGTCGTACGGTACGTCTCCGAGAAATCGGTACTGGAAGTACTGCCGCGACGTAGTATCGAGTTGGGAGCAGTCGACACAATGTTGCTTTCTCTTAATCTGGAATGAAATGAGTTTCTGATGATTACTTGATCCTGTGCAGTGTATTTCATTTATAAAAATTCGTACCAGAAATGATGTATTCCAACAAGATTAATTTAATAATAATTTAGTTTTATACAGCATTGCAAAACCCAAATGTATGCAGATGATACACAAGTTTATTACTCATTTTCGGGAGATCAAATTTTGGAAAGCTGTCAAATCATAAATAATGATCTAGAAATCATTAACAAGGTGTCCCTAGAACATTTACTCCACCTAAATCAAAAAACATCTATAGCAATGTTCTTTGGTAGGTCTGTGGATGTTGATCTCAACTAGTTGAAATAAAAATATCGAATGTGTGCAATCCTCTAAAAACGAAGGCAAAAAACTTTGGGCTTATGCTCGACAGTAAGCTAAGATTTAATGGTCACGTTACACAATGTATTAAAAAATCCATTTCTGACTTAAAATGCTTATATGGTTCTAAAAATATTTTAAATCAACCATTAAAAAAGGTCCTGTGTAATCCGATAGTTTTATCTTCTTTTAACCACTGTGATGTCCTCTATGGCCCATGTCTGAAAGCGGGTGCCTCAGAGCGGATTCAAATCCAGAAATACTGTCTAAGATTTATTTTTGGGATTAAACGCGGCGGGCCTGTTAATCATAAACTGAAAGAAGTCCGATGGCTTAATATGAAAAATCGACAATATCTCCATAAATGTAATCTTTATCACAAAATTATAAGATTAAAGTCTCCACTCTATCTTAAAAAAAAAAAAAAAACAGTTTTCGCACGGACGTTCACAATTTAAATTTAAGATTTAAAGGCGTGCTCACCCCTCCACGTCACATCTCTGCAATTTTTGATCAGTCTCTTAAATTGCTAAACAATATCTTTTCGACACACCTGCGTGAAGTTTTATTATCATTAAATATTTAAGTAATGTTTACTGTAAACTATTTCTAAAGTGTAAGTCCCTCTATTTGCAGAGATCGTACTAGGTATTTATTTATTTTTTTATGTGTATTTTTCCTGCCTAACGCTGCTACCTTCTTCTTAGGCTAGGTTTAAAAACGGAGGCTCAAAATATCTTAATTTGTTCATCTGAACCGTGTCCTTTTTATTGTATATTAATACGTGAATAAAATTATTATTATTATTATTATTATTAATTTTCTAAATTTATAACGCACCCTGCAATAATAAACCAAAACAGCATTTTTAATAGATTTACGGGAGGCATTGATATTATCCTAGAGAAGGTTATGATGTTCCGCGCATACCTCTAAATTTACTTTTAGATATTTAGACATTTTTTGATAAAATACTGCCGCAAAAATGCACCATCCAAACTTATTGACGATCCTACAAGGTCATTGGTTAAAAGCGCATGTTAAATGAACGTTCTCAACAGGCTTCTATATCTCTAGTAGCTATATGGGTTTTAGGGCTGTTATATGTGTTCACGGTTTCAGTCGATTTGCATGTTTTTTTGTGAGACAGAAGCGTGTTTTGTGTGCTCGGCGATTTTGTGTAAAAAATGGAATATAGTGCTGCAAAACACTTGAAATGTTGAAAACGGCATATGGTGAACCGAAAAAAATGTTTATAAGTGGTACAAGCTGTTTCAAGATGGCCGATGTCGAACCTCACTCTAGACGTCCCAGCACGTCAGTAGAAGTGAAAAAAAAAGGTGTTGAAAAATCGACGAATCAGTATTAGAGAAGTGAGGCATGAAACCTGTAGCAACAAAAGGACGAAGCATTGGTCAATAGCTGTTAAACGACGTTAATGGTGATCCTGATCCTGATCCTGATATGCTCAAAAATGTCACAACTAGTGACGAATCATGGTTATATCGTTATGACGTCGAAACCAATGTCAAGGTTTTGCTTGCTGTTTTCCTTGAATATTGTGGCGTAGTACATCAAGAATTCTTAACACAAGGTCCTGCGGTCAATAAAAATTATTACCTATTACCTAGAAGTTATACGCTGTTTGCGAGAAGCAATACGAAGAAAACGTTTAGAATTGTGGGAAAACAACTCATGGATTTTGCATCACGATAATTCACCTGCTCACTCATCATTGCTTGTGTCTAACTTTTGCCTCGACCACCATATTCACCGGATATTCACCGCTGCGACGTTTTCATTACAAAACTCAAGAAACCCATTAAAGGAAGGAGGTTTGGAACGATTGAGGCTATACCAGAAGTGCTTCGAAGAACGTTGGCACAAGTGTATTATATCTGGGGGGATTACTTTGAATGGGACAACATTTATTTTGAAAAATAAATAAATACTTTTTGATAAAACTTAAAAGTCACCTTAATTTTTGAACACACCTCGTATAATGTGAGGGATCTATAAGCCAGAAGATGGTCTATATGGCCGTTCCGTTTCATTTTAAGTAATACATGTAGTGTACTTTTTGATAAAACTTAAATGTCAGCTTACTTTTTGAACACACCTCGTACAAACTAAACATATGTCTTCTATTAATAAAACAGCCTTAAAAAGAGATATTTTAAATACAAAGCACACATTTTTAATTATATGCTTTAGCTTCATTAGTTGTCAAAGAGTAATATTGGAAATGGCATTTTTGCGACGTCAATAATAATGGAGTCGGCAAATAGGACACCTTGTAAAATTATTATTGATTGGCGCAACACTTTGCTATAACGCATGCGTTACGCAACGAGGCGCCACTCACGTGACTTGCGCCTAGTCGGACCTTGAATTTTATTTCATATAAACAATAATCACCGATGCCCACACGTTAGCCGGGAATACATTTTCATAAAGACAAACTGAGGGAGATCGTGCGATGCCCCTCAAACGTTTGGTTCGGATCCAAAACGCGTGGGATATCATTTAAGCTACACAATCGTTAGTTCGAAAACGTGACATTTCGAGTGTCGTCACGAAGTAAAAAAAAATCGTCGAAACGCTTCTGACAGAGCGACTAAATTGCTAGCAAGCCGGTCAAAAAGGCTTCTTGGTAACGGCACTGATGGCGAAAGTTTTGAGCTCGGTATGCGAAAAGCCTAAACTATAATAACAGGAATATTTATAGTTTTGATTTACATTTACTGAGGCGTGAAACTATGGAGTAATGGTACATATTACTACGTAATATAGTGACCCAAAATGTCCACTTACTGAATGTAGTCGAGCTGACCTAAAGTATACCTTATGTACACATTTTTAAAATTTTTATATTAATATCAACATTTAAACAATGTATCAAAATACTTGTCTCTACTCCCGTCTGTAAAATACCTAATTACACACCGATCTAGCGTGCGAGAAGCGTCACTTTACGTCAGTTTCATTTCCCACAGTTCCGAGCCATTTCGGATATTTCCGGGATTTTACCGCACAAGTTTGGGAGCAATCGGAGGTTTTCGGAGATATTTCCCACGCCTTGAATTTTGACATTTGTCAATTCTGACGGCCATGTCAGTGAATGTATTCTTGTTGTTTTGCGGAAATGTACACAAAAACTAATACACAGAAAAATGTTATGGAATATATCAGACGATTTAAATACTACGTGCTATAAGTTACAATTAAAATCTAGTGGACTAGTAGGTAAGTAAAGAGACTAATTTAAGTTTCCCACAGAAATTTTACATACCGTTCCATGAATTTTGATGGTTTTTATATTTTTTTATCTTGCTAAGACCAATTGTACGATTTTCAGATATCCATGTCTCATCAGTACAAACAAAACAAAATTGAAGATTAGGATCCGCTCATACGATCTTAAAAATTTAATCCTCTTAAAAGCTCTATCCTTGGAAGATTCTTTTTCCAATTACCAATTTTCTTTAAATAAACTACTTAATGATCAATTGTAAAAGTTAAATAAACAACACAACGTTTTCAAATTGTGTTTATTCCGTTGTTTATATGACATATCCAATAATACATATCTCTCTGTCTAACGTACACAGTTAAAAAGAGGCAAGAATAGTAGAACCGATCCGAAAAATAAACGAATAAGTTTAATGGCAAGTAGTAAATATTTTGTTTGAATGGTACGAAATTTAGTAATCCGATGTCTGTTATTATATATTAATTTGTCAAATTGTGATTTTTTCGTGACTTTCGTAGGAAAAGTACAATATGCAACACGTTTGGTAAACTCTTTATCTCACTCGTTTATTAAGCACTCGCTCCGCTGCCCGCTGTTCGTGCCAAATAAACTGTTGAGTCCAATGCCGTTTACCGCATTTATTGCATAATGTAATATTAATAGGTAGTCCATATGTAACATAATATTATTGTACTTGTTTGTCTATATTTTACACCATACCTTCATCCTAGTGGCTCCTGGAGTGCGACGTATGCGGTATGTTCAAAAATGTACATATAAAATCGTTAATGTGTCTGCAGAATAATTTTTCAGTGACGTTCCTCTGCATAGACACTAAAGTTTTTGATTTTTAATTCAATTGCATTGTATTGGATCCCTTAGTAGCACGATTGATACTTAATTGGTCTATCAAAAATGTATGGGGTATTTAATAGATCATTATTAAGGTCGATATTCAGTATTCTTTTATCATCTACTAAATATTTTATTTACTTTAACAATATTCTCTGTTTCTTGCTATATTTTTTTCATGTCTAACCATAAATATTTTGTATTTTTTGACGAAATTATTTAAACAAATAAGTAACTAAGTAAGTATGTAAGTAAGCAAATAAATAATCGAATAAATCTCGAAATCGCTACTTACCGAGTTGGCGGTTCGTAGACGTCGGATCCATTGAAATTTCGCGCGCTTTTACCGACCGGGGTGCTGAAGTTTTTCGGTTTCCAGTCGTCCCCGTTTTCGACAACGGTTTTGAACATGTCCGGCGCTCGATCTTTAACGTTCGAAATGTAGACCCGCTTTTCGTTCCGCTCGAAGCCCGTTTTCCTGGCGTTATCCACGGTATCCACCCCGTTTCTATGGAAACGAGGGATGTAGACGTCACCGTTCAGGTCCTGAAAGACAAAAATATATTTATATTACTCAAAAACAATACGGTTGAGCCTTAACTAATTTATTAATTATATTTATGCTCTGTTTCTGAATGCGAGGGAGTTAAAAATCATTATTTTATTTACTTGATCCTAGAATTATTAATATCTCAATTATTTGCCCATCTCTGTATAATTATTATTACATTTATTACTCCCAAAAACTACCTGTAGCAACGCCGCTGTCAGATTGCTTTCATTCGCGAAACTCGTCTTTCTATTGTTATATGTAAATTAGAATGACCCTAATTTGAGAACGATTGAGGGTGTGTGTAGGTGTTAACTGAAATATGGAATTTATAGGAAATTGTCATTGCAAATTTGCATTTTATTGCCTACTCTTTCGCATTAAGAAGCTAGGAATAGAAGAAAAACGAAACATTGCTTAAAAAAATGAAACGGGTGCTCAATGCGCGATCACAGGCATCACCATTATGTAATTGTGAACTGTAGACTTCAAATGACCGCAAAATAAAAGTCGAAGCATAAACCGCAAGATCGAAAAGAAATTTGCGCAATTTCTTTCCTTTTAATAATGTTTGAATGTCGTATAAAAGTGATGTAATTTAAATGTTAAAAAAACTCCCGTCCTCCTCTCTTTTGTTTTCTGTCTCTCTAGCTCCCTAGTCTTTTTTGATGAAATCGATACACAACTTTTACATGAGATCCTATTCAATTCTATCGAGACGATCAATTTTTACCTTTTGACTTCTGCTGAGGCTCGAAATGAGGCCAGGACTCTTCAGACCGATCGGGTTTTCGTCCAATCTGTGGATGTGAGGATTCGAGGTGTACATGTTGTTCCGGAACGGTTCTTCCCCGTGGACTATAAGACTTTTGCTCCTCGCCAAGTTCGATTTGTAAGTTCGTGCCGGCTTAGCTGGACCTACAGTTATAAAAAGAAGGAGAGGTGAGAATGGAAGGAAAAAACAGTCGCCGTGAAATAATTGCTGGGATGCTAAATTGCTAAAAAATGTATGCTTGTATCAATAAATAGGATAATTCAATAGGGTACAACACGAAAATGCCTTATGACGTCACGATGCATTACATGTCAGCCGATGGCAGTTGTTAAACTGACCTAAACTCTCATTTTATTTTTTCTGTGGATGGTATTGTTTTCAACGTTGTTGTGGTAGTTGTATTGCTAACGTGTTTGGAACAGTTTGGAGTGATTTTTTGATTGTTTTAAATAGTTCTAATAATTTCATTAAAAAGGATGAAGATCTTCCGGTTGTGGATGCTTATTTTAAGGTTAAGGACTTTAATGTACGTTACTATATATAAGTGATATTATTCGCAAATAAAAAATTAAGTGCAAGAAGCCTCTGTGCGAGTTTCCTAAATTCGCGTAATTTTTTCTTGTCTTTAACGAATTTGACAAGAATGAAAACAAGGTTTATTAGAATTAAAGCAATATCCATATGCCACATATATGGTTACTGTTTTCCTCGTTACACAGTATATTCCATATTTTAATGCAAATGTTTGTAGTGAAAAAGGTCTTTAATTTTCGAAAATTTAAAATTAGTATTAGTTTCAAACGATAAAAAAGACATGCAGAAACTTAAAAACATTTCCAGCAATTTTTCTCAGTATGATGGTTTACTTGTTTCCTACTACTATTATTTTTTGAAAAAGACTCACCTTCGTTGGCGAACCTGGATGAATGTATGCTATTCCCAGTGGATACGTTCAAAGTACTACTGGACTTGACGTTCTTGTCCAATCTGCCGTTGACGTCGTACTTATTGGGGTGCCTGGGCAAAGTCTGAGAGCTGCGGTCCACTTCAGTACCCCGATGGTTAATCAACCGACCAGTTGATTTGCTGAGCCGTCCCAGCGTACTGTGCGACCTAAAATATTCAATCGGCTAATCGATAAACCAGATCAAAGGCGAATTAGATGAAGAGGAGGGAATTAAAATGTCGTATCGGTGAGGTACGTATATGGTAGCGGTATCCCCCACTTACCACAAGGAAGTTCGCATGCACACTCCGTGTGGGTGGTTCCAACGCGATTATCATAAAAATTCGCTAATGTCGTTTGTCCGAATATGGTCTGTCAGACTACTTTGCCGTCCTACGATTTTTTTAATATCTAAATTAATTTATTTTCCGTCTACATAACGCGGCAAAGGCAAAATAACCAGCGACGCTAAGTGGGTGAAAAAATATAGACCGAGGTCACCTTCGTCGCTGGTGTCGTCGCCGATATGGCTATTTTTGCTGGTTAATTTTTGTGCACCAAACTGGGGAGCTTTTTGCGTTAATTGGATTAAACTAGGTGATGCGTTACGTGTTATTTACAAAATTCTGCGTGAATACAAGCCAAAACAATATTTACCTGCGTGGTATTTCTATATATATCCCCAATTTGATCGAAGAAAATTCCAAGTTTTTTTGGGATCAGCAGTTTATTCGAAATTATAATACATCTGACAAGTATTGCGTTATCGGGATAAGTTAGAAAATATCAAAGAAAATTTTAGTACAATTATAGTTATTTTAATAACAATAGTAATAATCACGTATAAAAATTGTTCTGGTTTGATGTGTTCCTCTTACGCCATCAAATGAAATTCTCGCCATCTCCTTTCGAATTCGAACTAACAAACAAAAAAAATGTAACTATCAGATTAGCCAGTTATACGGGGTGGTGCGTAATAAATGTCCCCAGAAGCAATCTCAGATGCAACTTGCGAAAATAACGACATTGAGCGTTCGTTAATTAAATACACGCTGCTATAGTTCTGTGTTTGAAACAGCTTCGTTTTACCACCCTAAAGACGTAATGTTACTATTTCCACGAATTTAAGCGGCGATTGCTTTTTGGTGCTTTTATTGCGAACCACCCTGTATACACACATTCCGTCGCCGTTCTTCATTCGAAAAAAAAAATCAACAAATTGTCAAACTTTTTAACGGAAAAAATAAAAATTACAAAAATGTTCAACAGGCAATAGTACATTATGCAACAAGTGCGGTAAACGGCATTTGACTTACGAGTTTATTTGACACGAGCGGAGCGCAGCGGAGCGAGTTTTTAATAAACGAGTGAGTTAAAAAGTTTACCGAACGTGTTGCATACTATACTTTTTCTACGACCGTCAGTTTTTGGTTACATTTTCGCAAAACAACACGAATACATTCACTGACATGACCGTCAGAATTGACAAACGTCAAAACTCAAAGCGTGGGAAACATCTTCGAAAACAAGTATTTTACAGACGGGAATAGCAAAAAATAATTACCGCGCCACAGTCCTGCGTGTGTGCGTACGTTGCGTCCATTATTCGTTAAGTTAATGTTAAGTAGCCAATTTTACTATATTTAGAAATATTTACTGGGCTGTAGACGTACATGTATGAGACACGGCACGTATGCAAATGACACACGTGACGAATAAGATTTGCCTTATTTAAAAACAATACGACTTCCTTCGGTCCGTAAAAATATCTCTCGGAATGTCGGAAACGTAGGAAACCTTGTCTTTTAGGTTGACCTTATTTAGTGTTGTTTAAGCTATAGAATAACAGACGCTAACAAATTCATCATATCGCTTCATGGCCATGTTCTACATGTAAGTACATTTAGTTTAATTGTTTCGAATCGGATATTTCCAGAAAACTATCGGTGCATAAACCGATTAGACTGAGTCATTAGCTTAAGTGCTTCGTATTCGATTGGCGAAATGCACATGGGACGGCCCATTCATTTCGTTATCAAAGCTCCAGTGAATTAAAATCAATTAAATACTCTACGACGACCGAAAATAAAAGTTAATATTAAAAATTATACATGGTGGAAAATTGAAAAAGTTCGACACAGTTTGCCTGTTTTTTCAAATTTTTAGTTTTTTGATCAAAATGTTGAAATGTTTAATTTTTAAACCAAAAATTCACATATCATAATTACTGGTAGTTTGTAATTTTATCCTTTTCGCAGGTTTTATCCCTAAATCATGGAGATCTAGTGAGATCTGAGCCCTTAAAGGACGCAGCTGGAAATTGGTTTGTGTTTGTAAATGAAAATTTAATACGATGGGTACTAGCGGACCCCTTGGAACATATTTAGCTTCTTTAGTTTATTTAATTATTTAGTATCCAGGAAATATTTAAGAAAAAATTGATGTGTCGTTTTGGTCACTGAACACATCAATTATTTAATTGTTGTAGGTTAATAGTTCGATATAGATCGCAGAGACACATTTTCTCGGACACGCGGTACACAGAATGTTTTTAATAAGTGTCTCATATTCGACAGGGCAATTCCTCAAATATTTTTAAGAAAAAAATTATAATTTAAACTTCTAAAAAACTAAAACTATGAATTTTCGTTTAATTATTTGCGAAAAACATAAATAAAAAATTAATTCTTAACACCTTGTGACCAAAAAAAAAAAGATTTTTTTTCTTAAAAGTACTTAAAAAATCAACCGGAAGAACGGTCACTTATTAAAAAACATTTCGTAGATAAGTTCCTGTCTGGAGCATTGCATATGGCAGTTTAACTTCCGCTCCTGGCAGAATCCCTTGTAATCGCCTCGAAAAATCTTGAAATTGGTTTTCACTGTGTGGATTTAGTGTTCTTGGTGTTTAGTGAATGTTTTAAAGTGTGTAATCGTTGTCGGCCCCTCTGTTTCTTCCCCTCCATACCGGTTGAATGCTGGATAGGCCCGGATGGTCCGCTTTTTTGCTATCGGTCAAAGTACCTTTTTTTTTTAAAGAACCTATTAAGTATGTGTTAACAAACCTGGAGGCCGATGGAGTGGTCCAGTCTCTTATGAAGGTATCCTTTAGGATTTTGAATAATGTTCACAATCGTTGTAAGCTGGTCGAATGACCTTATGTAGCTGTGGCCATTAGAAGTAAGGAAGAAGAAGTTCCTATCCATTTTTGTATATGTCGTACCAAGGTTATGACACCCGGTCTTGTGTTATATAAACGGCGGTCAAATTGTCAAATATAAATTTTCGATTCATTATTTTTCTATATGGCTAGTCATTTTATAAAACCACGGTAACTACTCGGCCAGAGAGTCAATCAATATTTAAAATATTTAAAATATAAGCTAGTTTTTCGCTGTGAAACTCATAATGTAACTATTGGGGGGAATACGCTAACTGTGCCTCAATAGGATCTATCTGCTCTTTACGAGCGGGGGTGTACCTATAATAATAATAATCGGGACAGGCATTTCTTTGCCTTATCATCTTTAAAACTGTTTCGAAAGAACATTAAAGGCGTGTCATTACATAAATAAATTGCTGAATTATTTCTGCAATCATTTACTTTCTTTTTCTTTTGTTTTTATTTTATTTTTCTGTACTACGGGTTCTCTTGTTATAAACTGTATTGTCAAAAATTTATGTAATATATACGTTAATTGTATTGGCCTAATGTTGAGTAGCTGACATAGTCAGACAGACTCAATTCTCAATAAAGACTATTATTATTATTATTATTATTATTATTTAAAAAATGTGTAGATATAAATTTAGTTTACTAAATAATTTATTCTTAAGCAACATTTGTATTGACTATATTATAAAAAATCCTAGTAGTTTTATAAAATGTTATATAAAACGACGGGTTTTTTTAATCTGACTACGATTTATATAACATAATTCTCAAAAAGTTTTATACCATCTAATTTAATTTTTCAACTTTTTCACTCTGTACCTTTTTTAATACACGCGTTTTTGGAGTAAACTAAATATTGTCGAAACACCAATTGTCCGTTTTCTACTACGCAGCCTTTGTAATGGCCGGCCGTAGAAAAGGAAGAAAAATATGTTCGCAATCGCGACGCAACTAATAAAACAATCACGCCCACATAAAAATGCGGAAAAATTGCATTATGCATAACCGCGATTATCTGTAGGTTAGATTTTATGACTAGGCTCCGCCTATCAATTAATCTTTTCTTTGTTCGCCTCCCTTATAAAAAGACCGACGGTGCCTAATTATGTTTAATATGTAAATACCGGTAGATTTTTGTCCGCCATAACCTGTGGACTTCGTAAACAAAATGTGGGAGGAGCGCGACCGATTATATTACGGCGTAGTGGCGTCTTTAAAAACCAGAAAAATAAATAGCACACCGCTAAATTATCTATATTTTCCTACCTTCTGTCTTCTTCCTTTGGTCTTCTGGAGCTTCTGGCCGGTTTGACGCCGTCGTATTTATTTTCCCTGCCGTAGATACTTCCGGCAAACGGGTCTTCACCCAAATAATATCTGCGAAATCATTAACGTTAATGTTACAAGTACAATAGGAATGAAGAATCTTTATTTTTAGCCTAAGGTGCTTGCTGTTTCCTGTGATTTCTCCAGCGAGACCGAAAAAATGTATTAGAAATGCCATTTTTTAAGTTTTATTGTTTCTCGTAATTTTTTAAACTTGAATCTAATCACAAAAATGTATTAATAATTGTCCGCTTTAGGCACCTCTAATATTATATGTTGGTGAGAAACAAAAACTTTAAACAAAAAGCAAAAAATTCTTATATAAATGTTTGTGGTGTTTTGGTGACAAATACGTTATTACGGGTTGCAGGATTTATATTTTTAGACCAATATTTTTATATAGAAGAGGAAGGAATTGCAGAATCTTTATTTTAAGCCGAAAAATCGTTTAATTCCTTAATATTGGCATTAAAAATTTATACTTTTATTTATTTATTTAGTTTTTTAGTACATATTAAGTATGTTAACAAATTTTTATTTCTCTAAAGGGAAAACTAAGAAAGCAAGAGAAAAATATCTTACACAAATTTCATTAAGACGCAACAACTAAAGAAAAATTCCTTAAAGAGAAATGTCATATTAAATTTCTAATCTTATTTAAATGTGTAAATTAAAGATTTGACGCCCTCGAAAGCCGTTTTTCCTACACAACGGGATGATAAACTAAAATCGTTTTTTTTCTTTTGGAAAATCCACGTAAAAATACGATTATCTTACCTTTGCACTGGCTGTCGTTCCATCGCGGTACCGATATTCGCGTCTATGACATGACCGGGTTGATAGGAGGGGCTTGGCGACCTTTTAACCCTTTGCTTCGATTTACGTTCCGTACTGGCCGACCGTATCTTGTTGACTAACTTGCGAATTGACTGCCCTGTAGAAAAAGCAACATATCTCACAATTAATTCAAGTATTTTATTGCCTTGTTTTATGGATAGATCGAGTTCCTTACGAACCGTCCAAGGACTTTCCCGAATTATTTTCCAATGAATCGATCCACACGTTTACGCCATCTCCAGTCGAAATCGACGAGCTTGGCACAAGATTTACCGATTTGCCAAAATCGTTAAAAAAAATAACGTAATTACGCGTCATACGGAACGTACTTTACACGGTACCCGCGGCCTATTGAAACGGCCAAGCGCGGTTTAATAATTTCTGAATGCAAATGAGTGTGACAAAGATATCCGAAGTCAGGTGTATGGTTTGCAGAACTTGTTTTTTAGATTTGGAATGTGTGCTAAGAATTTATTTATCTCGGCTTCCTATAAACTATTAGATTGACCCGTGCAAAATTCTGCTTGCAAATGGCGATTTCGTAATGCGCATATACGTTTGGTTATATTATTAAAATTTGCGACCCACTTTGCCAATTTTGTTTTCCGCGGGGTGAAGAAATCTTTGGAACTTTCTGTTCGGTACTGATAGTTTACAGAGCGAAAGAATAAGTTGGTTTAAGTGCACACAGAAAAAAATACAATAACCCATAATTCTAAAAACTCTATAAAACATTGAGTTTAAACGATTAAACTGTTGAAAAAAGCAAAAATTTAAAAAAATCTGTGTTAAAATTTAACTTGTGTGTTTTTTATATAATTATTACTTATAGTTTTTCAAAAATTTTATAAAATGCCCAAAATTTCAAACACTAAAAAAAGACAGCCCTATTCCAACAATTTTTGCAAAGAACCTTTCTGTATAATTTCTTCTTATATAACCCAACCGATTTATTTGACTGCCACCAGAAGAATTTGTAAAAATAATAATGAAGTACTGTAACAAAGGTTTGAGACGTAAAAGAAATCTATTTTTTAACTGCTAAAGTGTTTAATTCTCAATTTCTCAGAAGATACAGGATGTGTTAACGTAGGAAAATGTGAAACCTTGGTTCTACGTTTTAAAAATTTTTCATCTGTATTTGCTACTTAAATCCCAATTTCTTAAACTATAAAATAGTATTCACAAAGCCACTCACCGATGATGTTCCCACTCTTCTGTTTTTGCGGAGCTTGTTCGGTAGCAAATCTTGTTTTTTGAAAATGCTTCTTGTCGTTCGTTGGCATCGGGGGAGGACTAGGCGGAGAATAATCCGGAGGAGGTTCTTCAACTCTTTCCACCCTGTCGTCTCTCGAGTCTTCCAAACGGCCCGACCTGTAGCCACTATCGTATCTCGTTCTCTCCTCTACCACACGCTGTCTTTGTTTCTCTGACGTTTTCTTTCGCTGAGGTGGAGTGGGCGAAGGATTCATGTCCCTGAAGGAAGAAAACGTGTTTGATTGGAAAGAAGAAGTAATTGATGATAATGCTCGTCTCTACATTATTTTTGATGATAAAATTTGTAAAAAGGTATAAAAATAGATCTCATCACAAAACCACTATGAAGGAGTTGAAAGATTAACGCCCATTCGGTGGCACTCAACTTACCTCATTGGTGATATTCTTGATCTACCATAATCAGGACTGGGAGAGTGACCCTGTCTATAATCTGGTACAGGCGACCTTTGCCTGTAGTCTGGGATTGGTGATCTTAATTTGCGATCGATTGGCGAATGCGTCGGTCTGTAATCGGGTATCGGTGAACGCCTGGGGATATCGTTAGGGGTCGGTGAGCGTTGACGACGGTAGTCTGGAACTGGGGATCGTCGGGAATATTCGTTGTAATGCGGCGGCGGCGACGGCTGATATGGGGTCTGTGAACTCGGCGAAGCGGATTGGTGATAAGGTGAGTCTGTTCGGGTGGTGTAGCGATGTTCTTGGCGACGTTCTGACCACTCAGAGATACCTGAAATTGGTGGTACGGTGCTAGAGCTCTTAAATTTTGTAAAAATTAAGCTTTCTAGCTCTAGGGGAAGAACTAGCTACCTTTTAAAACAAAGCGTATGTTTGATATAGCGGTATTTTGACGTATTTTGGGAAATTAGTCTATATAATTTAATGCTTTTATTGAACAGCAATTGGATCACTCTGATTTGTTGAGTAGAAAAAGTGTTTAATGAATTTTAATTTTTAAAACGCAAGCCTCATTTTTTGCGGCTTTCGTTTTTTTATTCAACATTGCAGATTCGATTTTAAACCATCAACATTAACCTTAATGTAAAGGTCACGATCAATAACAAGAAATGAATAATATGGGTCGGCCATAAGTTAGGATTTATCTATTTAGTATGTATTTCAGACATTATTTTTTCAGTATCTTGTTTCTTGTCAAAAATAATTTAGCCCGTACTTTTATAAACTTAATTTCAAATGTACATGATAGTGATTAATAAAAGAAAAGAATAAATTATTGATGACATAATTCACGAAACAGAAAAAACAATTCTTCCTCCAAGAAAATAGGTATTTATAAGTATAAAGAGTATAAAGTATTTCAATTATTATCATTTATTCGATATTAATTTAATACATAATCATTCATAAAGGTCCTGCTACAATCTGCTAAGCTGCTGCAGAAGGAAAAGCAAAGAGATACCCTACAGCGAAGCACTAGAAATTAGAACAATTAACACGAACTCAGCGAAAGTAAGAACCAGAAGATTGCAAATACATAAAGCAGTAAACAATTGAGTGAAGAAGCAAACGAGAATATAATCTCCAAGCAGCACGAGGAACACATGCATATAGCATACACATAACCATTACCATCAAATGTTGCACAGAATGTAAATTTGTATAATGCTACAAAATCTCATTGAAAATCAAAATGGATAGATAAAGCACAACTTGACTAACAAATTATTATGATGACATCAATGATATGATATCGAATCGTAGCAAATCAAATATCTATTATATCTACAATGTAACCAATTTGTTTCCGGGGTCACTTGCAAAATCCAAAGGATAAGGCCATACCGTAATGATATTGTAATAATTTTGAAACAAAAATAAAGATGCATAATAAATAATGATTGGAAAAAATACAAATAAAATTAAGAATTATCGGTAGCTTCTGTCTTCATGGAAATAACATTTTTGGATTTTTTTTTAAACAAATTTAGATTGAACAATTTCATACACAGAAAGGTCAAATTTTTCAAAGAAACTTCCACAGGCTACTGTAATACTTTTTATAAAACTTCTGGATTCCTCTTGCGTCGGTTTTTGTTGACTCGAAGTACCTGACCTGTACCTGCTTTGATATCGTTTGAGAGGGGCGGAGCTAAACACTGTCTCGGATGACTGATTCTCATATTGGTGACAGGTAGAGACCTGAGTCTCGGTTAAGATTACTAGGTTGCTTATAGATTTCGATAGACTCTCGGATTTTCCGTTTGTAATCAATGTTTCTACCCAACGGAAAATCCGAAAATAATCTTAACCGCGACTCAGCTCTCTACCTACCACACACATGGGAATCAGTCATCCTAGACGGTGCTTTGGCCCCTCATTTAGCTCCGCCCTGTCAAACAATATAAAAGCAGGTACAGAGTAAAATGCCAGTTTCAGTCAAGCTCTGAAGAAGCCAACAGGATGATAGGCGCAACGTTAGCTAGTTCGAGTCAACAACGATGCAGGAGGAATCAAGAAGTTTTATAAAAACTATCACCTAACGGTCATAAGCTTTAGAAGATACTTTAGAAAACAAACGAAAGTGAATTAAATTATTTGAAACGAAATTTAATTCGCCTACATAATAATTATTGTTTCCATTTATAAATGAAATTCAAGTTCTAGAAAGATCTTCAAATCCGAAAACAAATTGGGTCCCAATGCATATTCGAACAATTTACTTTTTGCATTGTAGGGGATGCCTTATTCGGATGCCTATAGGACGTACGGAGGGTATCATGCGATATCAGACTTAGGAAAAGCTCGTACCCCTACACCACCACGAACCTTACGGACCTCGATGCTTTCGCGGGAATTCTCCTAAAGCTTTACCTTTGTAATATCCCGAGGGATGGTTGCGATCTTTATCGAGTTCCACGGGACTATAAACCCTAGGCGAACTACTATTGACCGGGCTGATGAAATTTTTTTGAGCGCCCTCTGGCCTAGAAGGTTGACTTCTATTCACGGTTATATTAAACACGCTACTTTTCGGCAAATGATCGTCGATATCGTCCAACGTTGAGTTCGACGAACGCGAATCGGAACCGAAGTGGTGTTCCAGCCACTTGGACGTTTCGACTTTTCTGGTCTCCTCCTCCTGGTCGAAATTTAACGGGTGTCCTGTGATGGCGTCTTTGCGATCAAGCGGACTCGTAACGCCATTTTGCACGCCTGAAATTTAAACGCACGTATTTTGGTGTCTGACTCCACCCGAGGTCGTCGACTAAGGAGAATTTTAGAAACGAATAGGTCAGCGTAAGTCCCTCCCACGGATCGTAAATAGAGGAAGAGGACGCTCCACAATTCGTCGATCTCGCTCTTTCTCTAATGGTACTCTTCTTTAGCTCACGCTGGTGTGGACCGTATACCCAGGCTGTCGTACATACGTATCGCGCGAGGCATTTTCTTTATTAATGGACGTCCGAATTAATTATTGCTATTAATCGCGGCACTAATAGTCCGGCAGAATTTGCAAATGGTCGCAGGTATCTGGTAAATTAAAGTAGATAAAGTCATAAAAACATAGTCATTGCTTGTGAACTTACTAAATATTACAACTAACAACTGTTACAGTGAATTAATTACTGTGGAGTATCCCAATTGTTTTGAATCGTGTTTAGTGGTAAGGTAAATAAATGGCGCTAGTGTGAAGCTTACCGCTTGAAGCTCGAACACTCCGTCGTAAAGCGTAACAAAACTCTCTTGGTTAATCGCTCTTGTTTATTCACTCGCTCCCTTTGTTATTATCGTCCTCTCGTTTTCAACTGTCACGTAAAATTAAAAGGAACTGACCGGCTTCGAAGAATTGTGTATTATTAGGTTTTTCTTTGTGTTTTCAAATGAAAGTTACATTCTGCAGAACCAGTGCCTCATGATTTATACAGGCCACTTTGAAGAAACTCGACAATTACTTACACTTTTTCCTATATTCTATTCAGTCTTTTAAAAAGGTGAAATTTTACTTTACTCTGTAAACTCTGAGGTAAAAGATTGTATACTCTTGGTGAAAAATGTTCATATAGTTGAATAATTTTTTGTTCTATGTTTCAGATTAATTTTTGCTTTATAACAAATTTTTGATATTTTCAAACTGTAAAGCTGGCTGGGGTAGTTTTGGAATATGTTATTTTGAAGAATCATTTCTGTATATTACTTAAATGTGAGTAAGCTACTCTACTCCATCTTAAAATGCCATAGATGGGACTGTACTAAGGAGAGATAAAGCAATCTTAGTTGAACTTTTTTTCGAGAAACTCCTTAAGATATCTAAATTTAGGCAGCAATCCACGTATTTTCTTGAATGCATTTTTCATTTGTAAATACTGTATCCTATTTTTTTTCTGTGTTGTTTGGTAATTGGTTCTTACATATTAAAGAGGGTAAGAATTTTGTTTTCTTTAGAATTGACTTATTTGGAACCAGGATTTTATGATTTTGAAAGCTTGTTCAGCTGCAGTACAGTAGACCCGATATTTTTTTATCCATGCTTAGGAAGCCAAGGACTTATCCATCGTAAAATTTGGTCAGTTTGGATGGCAATGTGAATATATTTTTCAATATAATCAATAATCTAATAACAATAATGATAATAATATTAACATTTAATTATTATAAAAAAACTAAATGCAATATAGAAAAGGATTAAAAAATGAATAGATTCAATTTAATATTGGGGAAGGGGGAACCTTGGAAACAGTATTGCTTAAGATTGGTCAATATTGCTCGAGATAATACATGTGTCATCGGTGTTAGTTTTGATCCAATATTAGCACCAAGAAAAAAATTCAGTAATAAAATGTTAAAACCCAAAAAATAAATGATTTTTCGTATTTCCTTCTGCCAAGATTCAGACAGTGACCATTTTAACAACGTAACCATTTCTTAACGAGCTTAGAATCCTAATTAACTAACCAAAACTAAAAATTTAAACACGTTTTAAAAAATCAAAAAATATAGTTCACTTAAAACCTTGTTATGGCATTTTGCTAAACAATGTTTTTGCCAATTGCAACGATGGCACCTCAGGACGTGGGGATGTTGAATTTCGTATATAAGACAACTAAAAAAATTCTAAAACTGTTATTCCTTGAAATGTCGGTGAAAAGGCTTTGATGGAAGCACAACAAAGAGCCGGCACGGGACAGTGACCTTTCTTGTACTATTTATATATTCGGGAGACTGGGTCCTGTTTATGTTCGATCCAGTGAAGGACAACGATGAAAAATGGGCGGATCTGCATCTAGGAAATTATAGTTCCATGTATTTTTATTACCGTGTATTGTACGGACGAAACCCATCTTAGCTAAGAGGCATTTCGACATCAGGCTATTGAACATCGACGTGGAATGAGATGATGTTATCGCTAAATTTATAGGCGTTTGCAAGTAATTAACTAACTAAATAGAAAGTAAACTCGTTAATAAGTTGTGGCAACGACGTGTGTTAAGTTGTATAGACAAAGCATTAGCTTGATAACGGTTATGGCATAGCTACATTAGAGAAAATAAGTTATGTTTTACTATCTAAAAGCGCTCTTTTGGTGAGAAATGTTCTTAACTCTAAAGTGTTGCTAACTTAAACATTTTGTTTCGAAATATTTTGTAACAAAATTTTTAGAATGCGAAAGTGTCATAAATCATTATTGAAGTATAAAACTTTTTGGTCTTCATTGGCATAGTATTGTACGTTTGATGAGAGTCGCGAGAGTGGCAGGTGGTATTTAGTTGATCTACCTGTGTCTTAGAGCAGCTGAGAAGCCCAAAATATTATTCTCAAAGCTCTTTGCCACCAAAATTCAACGTTCGGAGTTGCGAGAATAGTAATAGAAGAGGAAAAGACACCGAAATAAATCAGGATGAAAAAAAAATCCATCAGAAGAATAATACACTCGAACCGGAGACTACTTGCAGCAAATCTGGATCGTATTCCTCTTAGGTCTGAAGAAAATCCCATGTCTTCTTGGAAAAAATAACATCTTTCATTTGATTACTTTGAATAAAAAAAATAAAACTTAAAAAAGAAATGTCAGAACTCCTTGTACGAAATTTGTTGTATACCACATCGAATACGAATTAATTCCCGTATGGGCGCAAGTAAAAGGGTTTGCGGCACCACTTTTAAAATGAGGGACGTTGAAACACTCTTGTAAGATTGTGTGGATTTTAAAAATGCAGTAATTGCGTCTGTTGTATTGTAATTTTATACATATCTTTTAACAATTTATATATTATTATAATATTCTTACCTATATAAGTTTTTATTTACTTGATCTTAGAATAATTAATATTTGATTTATCTGCACATCTCGACAAATATAATGATGTATAATTATTATTATTATATGTATTATTCCAAAAAACTGCCTGTAACAACGCCACCATCACATCACGTTCATCCACAAACTGATTTTTTTATTGTTTGCAAATTAGTGTAACCTAATTTACGAAAGATTCGAGGTGTGTAATTTAAAAAAAAATAAAATACGGAATTTTTAAAAACCTTATATTACCTTTAAGTGTTACTGTTTTAACGATTCATGTCATTGCAAATTGAAATTTTATTTCTCTCTCGCATAGTATGGTAACAAATTTAAGAACTCTTACAAGTTGAGGGGTGCAGAAAATTTTAAAATATTCCTACAATTCGAAATTAGTCGCACAAATAAACAACATTAATTTAAACCCAATAATGGACTCTTAAATACCGCGCATATAAGTCACTGAACTAGTCGGTATTCGAAATTACACCGAGATACAATCTATTCTAGTTCCTTTGATGTTATTATATTTTATCGACACAGCTAGTAAAATAATGGAATTATCACCGTTCATCTTGAAATTCTGACCAACTTTAAAAACTTTTAAAATGTGGCAATTATGTTATAGTAAAACTCAATTCACGGCTTGATTTGTATTTAGCATTACTCAATACCTTTGCAATGAATTACTAATGAATAACTTTTCAAAGAAACTTCCACAGGATTCTGTAATACTGTTGGCTTCTTCAGAGCTTAATTGAAACCAGTTTCAGTCAGTAAGTTCGATTCCATTAGAAAATTCAATGTTTTCCTGGGAATATGCTGGTCTTACAGCCATTTGTTTTCTATCGAGGTGTAGAGGTTTAGGTAGTCTTGCACACTGTCCTATCAGAAATCAAAATTCCGCGAATCACAAATGAAAATATTTTTTTCATATGACGTATCTGCTTCATAGATTTTTATCGCAACAAAGAAATCAAAAATATTGATCAGCTGGCAAATTTACTACCATTTACCAATGTATGCACTTCTAATTCACATTCATTCAAATTGTAAAAAATTACATACCTACTTTATGCTAGGATAGCATTGTTCTGAAACAATGATCTGTGATAATCTAAGGTGTTTGCTAAGTTTGCTATAATAGAACCCAGTGTTGATTATAGAAGCATGTTTTTAGTGCTCGAAGGTGAGTATGTTTGTATGTTTCGACGAAAAGGTGTCCTTTAGTGGTGACGGCGTGTATTTCGCAATCACCTCGTGGTTTCTCAATTCGAATTTATCGTTACGAGAAAAACACGCCCGAAATTTGAAACCAATCGATTCACATAAATTCAAATTGATAATAAACAATTACGTAAGCGGAATTGCATTGCGCTACGGTTATATTTAGATTTTTTTTTTTTGCAGGTCGCGCCTATTAGAATGACATAAAAATTATTTTAATATACCCACTAATAATAGCGCGCCTTCGTCGGTAAATACGATCGCGAGGCTTACCTCTGTATCTGTGCGGTTGACGATTGTTTCCTCTCCTTCTAGCCCTCGCCGATAAAGACTCGAACAGGTCTGGCTCGTCGACTCCGTCGCCTCTTTTCTCTACCTCCATCGTCTCCGTTTTGTACCTCATCTCATGACCTATATTTTTCCCGCCCGATAGATAGTCCACGTCTTCTTGCTCACGCGTTTTCACGTACCTACATATAACAACCAATTTAGTAAAAAAAAAACAATCACGGGCACTTTGAGCCAATTAATGGGAAATCGAAAATTCAAGTGGGCCCTGGATTTTAGAAATACTAAAAGTAAATAACAAGTTGTGACAATATTTGTCTAATCTGCGTTATGAAGCATTTGTTGATTTCGATTATCTAATTGTTACGTCCAACATACTGCTTAGTGCAAATCTGAAATCAACTTTGAATTTTCACAACATTTTATAATTTTTGAAGAAACCATCTTTATAAGTAATAATCTGAAAATTTTACAAATTTTTCCTTCTTTTGGTTTTCCCAACTTGTGGGATCAGTACCGCATCAAAAAAATTTGTCATCAAAAAATTTGGGAGACTCTCCTGGAAGTTTAAAACTTACTAAAACTCTCGAAAGACTAGTAAAATGCATCTGACTAAATTATAATTCATAAAGACTAAATATATGGAAATTGCTGACGTTTAGTTTGATATTTTTCTTGCACCTTTTCAGTTTTTACTGTTGGATTAAAAATAAAAATAAACTTTTTAGATTTAGCTTAAATCGAAAACTTTCTATTTCAAATGAAGAGAAAATTTAAAAATTGAATAAAGACGTAGCTTTTTCATCTAAATCAGAAAGTTTGGACCCCTAGGAGGAAGACTCCAAACTGGGCATTATTACTCATATAATTGTTTGGCTTTCGTAAGATTGTTGATTAACGGATTGCGGAATAATCAAAAAATTGACATTTTTTGACTATTCGTCAAACATTGCTCAATGGATTTAAGATCGACACAGAAACGTTTGCGAGTCCTATGTAGATAACAATAAAAAATGTAACATGGATGAATATGAATTTACATGGCTGATATACCAGATCAGTAAATTTTTCCAGTTGGAAATCTATCAAAAGAGACGCAAGAAGCTCGAAATATCGTCTCGAACAAATGCAAATATCGGTATATTTAACTACATCTGGGTTACGTATCCTCTTTAAGAATTACAAGATGAATAAAGGGGCACTTTGCTGAAATATGCTGTGGACGACAATCAGCAGAAGTCTAAAAATGTGAACAATTTTAAGATAAAAGGTAACGTTACATTTCATTTGATTACTAAATGATTTACTTCAAATAATGTTTAGCATTGTGCAAGATGGCGTCTGTTTATTCAGCTTAAACTTAATAGGAAAAGCTAACCGTTCTAATGAAACACACACACACCACACACACACACACACACACACACACACACACACACACACACACACACACACACACACACGCACCTAAGTAATTATGCACTGGAACGTCCTAAAAAGCGTTTTAATTACACTAAAATAATAAATTTTCGCTAATTTGGTCCACTGCCCTGCGTTGTCGACACACCATTGAGTAATGTCGACCGACCGATTATCGTCAATTAAAATAAAATTAGTGACCGCCCTGTCGTCATACCTCTGTGAACTTTCCTTTCGAAAATTTTGTTCTGGAGCGTCTTCGGGTAACTCGTCGTCTCTGACTTCTTCATGTTCCGTGGTCCTTTGAGTTTCGGTGACGATTTTACCGTCAGGCAATACGGAGCTGAGTTCTCTGGTATCTTCCGTGTCGGTAACCTTTTTGCTTTTCGTCGTGTCTCTCACCAAACGGGGGCCTGAAACGTTGATTTTGCGGCTCGAGCATTCGACGAAATTTATTTCCTATCGGTTACCTGTGGATACTAGAGTTTTTCCTCCCTCCGTGGATCTTAAAACGGACCTCAAATCGGATTTGCCGCTGTTTACCGCCGCCAGAAAAGCCTGCAGGAATAAGTGAATTCAAAATGTATCTGATTGTTAATGTTTTCATTCAATTTGCAAGCCTTTGGAAATTATACCGGGTTACCAGATATGAATGTAGAGTGCTGTATCTGGGAAACTATTTGTCATAGAGGATTTCGGTAAAAAAGAAATACCGCTATAAATACATTCAGACTTCCGTGGTGGCCGCCAGAGGGGGTATTTCAATTTTTAAAGTGTTTTTCCAAATCCATTTAGATAATGCACGAATTACGTGAGTCATAATAGATCCTTTGGGTAGCAGTGTTAAACACGATCTTCTTTTGGATACTTGAAATGTTCTTATTTGACAATCTTACACCAAGGTGACAATGATAATTATAGAGAAAGGTTTGTAGGGTAGCCATTTAAATTCAATATGGTTAGTTGTTGATTGTTCTTGAAAATTTTTATTTGGTAGCTAAACTTCTCTCTATTACGCCCACGCCGTGTAAAAGATCGATTTCAACAGAGGCGTACTTTTAGTAATCAAAAACCAATAATAAATATTTTTTTAAATAGAGCAAAAATGAAATAACAGCAATAAGAAGAAAACACGATAAGAAAAAAGGTGAAGCAACTTTTTTCTAATTTAACTGTCGATATATGGAACACACTGTATTCGAGGCTAACAAGATAAACCGTAAGTCTCTGGGCGTAAAGAAAGTTTCAATTTCCGAATCAAATTTAATACGTTCGTTATTCAAATGTGTAAAACCTGTTACCGTGAAATTAAAACCTAATTTCCATTGATCGAGCAATTGCCAGAATGCAGACACGTATACATTTTTTTCATGCGAGTTCCAAAACCTAAATCAAACATTTTTAATTTTGTATTTGTATATGAAAAAAATGGCGCTCGGCACTAGGATTGCAGCCAGTAGGATAGCTTAAATAAAAAGGTGTAATTATTTGTAATAAAGTTCAAGGATGGAGGTGTTTTTAAATACCGCAAACATTCCGAGTTCACTGTACAAGGTGAACTTAAAAGTTTTTTAAGTCAGCGGCATTTGAATGGCACCAGGCATAGGCGCCATTTCCAATAAAGATTTGCTTCATTATAGCAAGTGTCTTCAATTAAATCCGTATCTTACATTTTTTTGCAAATATTCCAAATATATACCACCCATAAAAATATTGCATAAAGCCGATCAAACAAAAATAATAAGAAATATTAACATTTTGGAGTTTAGGTGAATCTAAATTAGGCACAACCTGACAATCTGGCAACAACAATTACAAGCATGAAAGCAATCATATCATTAAAATCAAAACCAACCAAAACCAAGTTAATATATAGGGTGTCCCACAATAGTAATGTCATTACGTAATGTCCTGACCGTCCCTTCTTAAGAAAGTGCTTTTTCTAAGAAAAAAGCCATTTGTTTTAACTTTCCTCACAATTTTTATGAAGTATATGTTGAATAACTTAAAAAAATGATTTTTGTTTCAAGGAAAAGCAAAGATGTGTACAACAAAAGTTATGAATGGTTTGAGATATTAATAAAACATTACTTCATAAAATTCTGAAACACACTGTATAAGCTTCAGTGGAACGTTTCGAGTGTCCGAATCAAACGCAAAAGTTGTCGACGCCATTTTTGTAACGTTATAAGTTGTTACACCTGTAGACGAGCCTGCGATCGCTATTAAGACTAGACAAGCATGAAGGCCTTCGTAATGACGAATAATACGGTGACATTTAAACTAACATTAAAGATCATTTGATGCTAGGATGGCTGTTAAAGTACTTTCATAGTTCCCTGGCATTTTGTTTGCGTTATACAGGGAGTTACATTTTAACTCGTTAGTTTTGGTGTTTTCCGTAGCAGATTTTTGAGATGTCGTGATTTCGGTGTCAGAAAGAGAAATATTTGTAAACTTCACGCTTTATTAGGCACAACAACAAAAGTTACATAAAAAATGTGTATGGCACGTTGAAATATCACACAAATGATTTACGATTTATCTGATAATTGGATCGTATGAAAAAGTTTGCGGATCAGAATTCGTCACGCTTGTCCAATCTGGACCGTTTTGGAATGCGACTTGAAAAAAATCTCAATTCCCCAAGAAAGGAAATATTACGAAATAGGAATGTCGCTGTAGATTTAAAAACCGATTTTGCGTTTTTGTACAAATACCTAAGAATTCTGGCGGAATTTTGTAACCAAAATGGTTCAATTTGATTTTTGAGAGAGACACAAGGTTCAACGGAAAAATTCATAACTTTTCAATATTCAATATCTAATAATAATAAAATAGAAAGAAGTTTTTCTCTGTATTTTTGAGACTCGACTAAAATATGGTTCAAATAACAGTTGTAGAGATTCCAATTACTTACAACTTTTACTTCTAGCTATTTTTCGATGGTAAATCTGCTTGCCTTAAAAGCACACCCCACGGTTATTTGTTGCTGTCCAACCAGTTTTTCCCATTCATGTATGAGTATACTGATGGGAATTTTTATATTTCAAACATAATTTATTGGCACTGGTCTAACAGGAAAAATTAGTTTTCTCTCAGAGTTATAAATAATATTAGGAGAAATTTAAAACTGTACGAAATACCAGCTTTCTGAATGTACGTCCAGTTCACTAGCGAGTTTGATGATTCAGAGTCTTGGGTGTTTCAAAAAAAGTTTCGTTAATGTTTAGGAGAAACAAAATATTAAAAAATTACGTTCGTTAAAAATTACTGCTGACAAAATTTTAGAATTTTTACAGGAACGTCGCCAATCGGGCGGTGTTCCGAACTTTTTATTAGGATATTTTTAATTTTTTTATAGAAATTACGATTTTTTGAATATTTTAAAAAAGAAAACGGACAAAAGTTTTTTAGAGAAATATTTTTTTTTACTATTTTTTTTATAATTTTTCTTTCTACTAAAGAAAAAAAAACTGATATTGGGGTTATTTGAGGTTATTGAGGTAAGGAACGCTGACCGAATGAATATATTATTTTAAGTAATTTTTATGAACGACAACCGAACTATCTCAGGGAATAACGATTATTTCAGAAACAATTATGAAGTAAAAAGACTGTAAATGATTTTGAACTTAAATATTGTCAGCAACAACTTTTATGACCCTATTAGATATCTTAAGCCGTTTTAGAAATATTTAAAAAAAAAACGATTTTTTGGTACCCCATTTTCAGATGTTTATAAACCAAACCAACGTAATTTTTTAATTATCTGTTTACCTTAGAATATTTCGAACCGTTTTTTGAAACTCCTTGTATATTCAACTGGGCTGATAATAAACTAAATTAATAGTTAAGCTTGCAGAGTCTGTATTATTTATGTAATAGGCGTATTGAAAGTGGCTATCGAATTATCTAATAACTAAACAATTATTTTACAGAGCACGTAGTGAATTTAGCCATAAAATCTAGTTTTTGAATAATAAATATTATCAATATATAGCCCGGTATGGGAATGCAATTTCCTAAACGCAAATTGGATGGGTAGAAAAAGCACCATTAGAGAAACCCATTAACCGAAGAGATCCTTACTTGTCGTTTTCTCTCGAGTACAGATACGCACAAGAGAACAGGTTCATTTTCAAGGTCGCCGGATAAAAACTTCGTATTTTCATCAACGGTAGGTGCCCGATATCACTTGTCACTGAACCGACATGTTCACGCGTCCATATGAACCGGGTTTTCATTCAAGACTTTGCGACCCGATCAAGAAAAACCGTCCAAATCAAATTAGGAATGCTGGAGCGACAAAATAGCAAAGTGTGTACCGGACAAAGGTAGCCGAAGGAATTCTTCGATGGTAAGCAAAACGTAAGTTGCGGTGAACGGATCAGTGGTTCGACTAGTCCCCCCCTTCTGTCCCCTTCGATCATATGGTGTCGCTCGTACAAATTAAAGAGGTTAGACGTGTTTACAAGCGAAAATCGAATGGGCATGTGTCAGTTTTTTTCTATGTCGAATAATTCTGCGTCTAGGAATTCTTATGCGGGAAAGTTATTAATTAAATCACGGTTTAATTAATGCACTTTCGGACACCGGCAGATGACCGTAGAATGGCGTCAAAGTATTCGACACCCTTGGATCTTATAATGCGACTGCCGAAATTTCAAATTAATTTTTTTCTATTGAAAAAAGCTTGAGCAATAAAACTCTGACACATTTTTTTTCCATATCTATTAATATACTGCAATATTATAACAAATGACAATTTTTTTACCACCAAATACACCAGACACCACCAGTAAGCAGCCTCACGTAAATAAGATTTCCATGTAATTGATTCTTATTATTACTAAGTATTAATACAAAAATTAAAATTTCTCACTAACTGCCACCTAACTATTATACGGAGTGAATCAAACTTTAAACCCGATATAAACAAAATAGGTATTTTAGACCTTACTTAATTATTACTTAAAAGCAAACGTTTCATCAAAATCTCACTCGAATGTGTAGGTTTTAGAAATTAATTAATTATCGAATGATATAGGCAATAAGATTCTTAGCAGATCATCAACAAATTATCGTTTTGGCTAATTATACAATTAATGATCCCACCTGTTAGACTTAGATGTTACAAATATTAAAGTTTTTAATCAAAGCAATATTTGGTGGCAAACAACATATAAGCTGCAATTAAATACTAAGACTTACTAAATTTGAAAAGGCTAATGATATAAGCCATAAACGCATTTTTCAAAATTGCTCAAATTCTAGTTTATTTCCAATAACTGAAATTATCAGTAAATATAACAGCAGCACAATTGGCGTAAAATGAGATACATTGTTTTTAATTTAAAATATATGCACACAGTGGTCAGTTTATGACACACCAGTTGATGTCAGGAAATAGAAGAGATTGAACAAAAAGTTAAATGGAATGCCCTATATATTAATACTGATTTCGATAGACCATTATTAAAACATGAGTTCATTCATGTGCAACAGTATGCGGGGTTTAAATGCAACGTTTCAGAATTATTGACGTTCATCTTTAT